TCCACAATTCAAGATCTACAGGGACACAGACCTTGTTTATTTTGCTCATTTCTACATCCTCAGACCCTATAATAGTATTTGGCACATAGTAGGTGCTTATGAAATATATGTTGAATGGTTGAATATATATACTTATAAATTAAGTGGTATAGTACTACAAATGTTATTTAATAGCTTTCATTTAATGTCAGGGTTTTTTTTAAAGATTTTATTTATTTATTTTTAGAGAGGGAAGGAAGGGAGATAGAGAGAGAGAAACATCAATGTGCGGTTGCTGGGGGTCATGGCCTGCAACCCAGGCATGTGCCCTGACTGGGAATCAAACCTGCGACACTTTGGTTCGCAGCCCACGCTCAATCCACTGAGCTACGCCAGCCAGGGCTAATGTCAGTTCTTATAGATATTACCTCATTCTTTTTAGTTACATGGTGTTTTATAGTATGAATTGCCATAATTTGTTGAGCCATTTGCCTTGTGGGGAACATTGAGGATGCTTTCAGATTTTTAATATTTTGAGTGATGCTACAGCAGACATCCTTATACATACCTTGGAGCACATGAACCTGTGGTTTTCTCGAAAAGTACCTACTAAAATAAAATTGTCAGGGCAAAAGTTACGTGCATCTTTAATCTTGACAAATGCAGCCTTAAAAGTCATGATAATTTATGACTTTGAATGGGAGTGCAGATTTTCCTTCAATGCATCGCCACTTTATTCATCATCTTTTAATGCCTTCCCAATCTTGAAGGAGATAAATGATTTTCACTTTGTTGCTTGAACTTGTATTACCTGATTTCTGTGAAGCTGTGCTTATCTTCCCCCATGTTTATTGGGCATTTGGCATCTTTTTCTGTGAATGGCTAACACTTGAGTATTTTTTTCTACTACGCTATTTCCCTTTTTAAAAAAACATTTATGTGTAATTGCATTTTATATATTCTGAATATTATTTCTTTGCCTTTTTAAAAAAGTATTTTCTTCAATTCTGGTTTATTTGTTGTGGGGTTTTGTTTTGTATTTTACCTCAGTTTAGTGCTTTTGTCATATAAAGCCTTTTTAGCTTTAATAAAGTCAAATACATCCTTTGTTTTCCCTTTCCAGCTCCAGTTTTGTATCTTGCTGAGAAAGCTTTTCTATCAAGCTTAGGATTGTAAAATACTCCCCTATATTTCTTTTAGCGCCTTTATCATTTCATAGTCTATGATTTGCTCTCTAATTCATTTGAAACATTGTTATTTATGGTATGAGACAAGAATATAATTTAATTTTATTACAAACAGATAATTTATAGACATTAATCTACCTGACTCCATTTATTGACTAGATCAAATTTCCCCATTTAGAATGCTCTCTTGATCATAAGCTCTATCATTATACATACATGGGTCTAATTGTGTCATCTTGATTCCATTGTTTCCCAGTATCTAGCCATGGGAATACTATCTTCATCATTTCTGTTATATTCCCATGCCATTTATTTAATATGGTAGCATCATGCATTTTAAAGTTAAATACCTGCTTTAGCTTCATCCTAAGCACATAAAATCATAGCTTTACTTGTTTTTCTAGTAAACATTAAAGTAAGTGCTTAACCATTGAAATGAAATGACATTGCCATTTTAAATCATCTTACAAACCACAAGTAGAATGCAAAAAAACTTCAGGGAAACACTATGGCATTCTTTCCACTAATGGGTTTGTACATTTCTGTGACATCACCACATTCTAGCTTCATGGAGTGTTTTGTTGTTGTTGTTGTTTTATTTTAAAATAATTTCAGACTCACAGGATGGTCTTGTGTATTCATCACCAGCTTCTCCCAATGGTAACATCTTATATATCTATAATATATTATCAAACTCAGGAGCTTGACACTGGCACCATATAATTGACTAGTCTACAGACCTACAGATTTTATTTATTTTTGTCTACATTTATATTTTGCTTTTATATATAGTCCTATGACATTTTATCACATTTGTTGGTCCTTGTAACAACCCCCGCAATCCAGATACAGAACTGGTCGGTCTGTCGCTCTCAAGGCACTTCCTCACACCACCCCTTTACAGTCACGCCCTCCCCCCCAGTCCCTGGCAACCACGCATCTGTGCTCCGCCTCAGTAACTGTGTCGTTCTGATGATGTTATACAAATGAAATCAATCATACAGGACAAAATTTTGAGGACTGACTTTTTTTCACTTAGCTAATGACCTGGAGATTTGTCCCAATTGTCATGTCCATCAATGGTCATTCCTTTTGTTTGCTGGGTAGTGTCTCAGACTGTAGCTACACCACAGTTTGTTTAAGCCCTGAGCTAATGAAGGACATCTGGGTTTTATTCCATTTGGGTGCTATTGCAACTAAAGCTGCTACGAATATTCTTGCACAGGTTTGTTTGTTTTTTAAATTGTCTTTGATGTGAACCTAAGGTCTTGCTTCTCTAGGATAAATGCCCAGCAGTGTGATTGTGGGGTTCTATGGGAAGTATACGTTTAACTCTTTAAGAAACTGCCAGGTCGGCTTCTGGAGTGGCTGAACCATTTACATTCCTACCAGCAATGTCTGAGACATCCAGTTTCTCTGTATCATCACCAGCATTTGGCACTCTCAGTGTTCTTTATTCTACCTATCCTAATATGTTTCCTTTTTGATTTGTCTTTTCCTGATAGCTAGCAATGTTGAGTATCTTCTTATGTGCTTATCTGTATGGCATGTTTTGATATCTGGCGGGCAAGTCTGAGGCTGCCTTTCTTACATGGTCCTTGCCTCTGCTGACCCTGAGAGGAACAGCTGACCTTGGCTGCTCCTGGGGTAGGAATGCTCCTCTTAGCTCTTCCACGAGGAAGAAAGTGTGGAGGTGATAGTGGATGGTCTGACCTCAGTGGTTAGGAGCACAGGCTCCAAGCTTCTGGTAAGATTCTGGGGACTTACTGGGGAGAGGATGTGACGCTTTCAGCACCACACCCCCAAGACACTTTAAAAAAAATCAGTGTTTGGAGATGGAGTCACTTGGGGGTTGTGAGGACATTCTCAGGCTGGGTTCACAATTGGAAATAGTGGGATCTGAGCAAAGGGGACCCAGTCACAAGAGGGTCACAAACATTACCCCACCTTTCTGGAATGTAGAAAGAATTGGAGGGGGAAGATTGAGTCGTCTCAAAAGGCCCGTGGTTCCCACCACCACTCCAAGAGCAGGGCTCACATCTGTTTGTCCTGCTCTGCCCCGCATCCCTATGTGAGAACCGCACCGTGATGGGGGGAGGGCCACCTCTGAGAGGTGACTGTGTCCCCCACCCAGACTCTTCTTCTCCCGGAGGGTTGACTGTGAACGCGAAGGTGCTTGAGAAACTTTGAGATACAGAGCAGAACCTGTGTGAGCCAGACCCCATGACGACCTAAAGCGCCCCCTGGAGGAGTGAACAAGCCCTAGCAGGAGCCCGGAAGAACCAGTCTCAGATCCTAAGGCGAGGGATTTGGAAGAGATGTCTCAGGTTCACCCTGTAGGACAGGGATTCTCCAGGTAGGGTCTACAGTCTTGTGGCTCTCATGAAACCTCCCGACAGACACGCATCCCAAACGCAGGTGTCCTTTCCTGTGCCTTCCAGGGCAATAATGAACCCATCTAGAAGGTTCCATTTCCCCCTATGACCAAAGTCTTCTTCACTATAACCTATCAATTGAATCATTAAGGCTTAATAAAAGAGGGTACTCATGAAATAAAGTGAGGGTGTTTTCTAGAATATACTGAACAATGTTAGTGTAACCTCGGGTAAGTTACTTAAAATGTGTTTCTTTCTTTCCCTGTCTGTAAAATGAGGATAATAGTAGTTTCAACTTCAGTGAGACACCGGAAGGGTTAAAGTGCTTAAAACAGTGCCTGGCTCGGAGCAGGCATTGCAGAGGTGTCAACCATGACTACGTAAGGAGAACGGAGAACGTAAGTGGGGGCCACCACGCCGCCTACAGGTGGTCGGGGCTCCTGCAGTGGTGGCGAGTGTCTTGACCAGGGCTGCCTTGAGTTGGTTACGTTTTCCCACCGATGCTAACCTTCCTAAGTACTGGTAAATTTCTGCTAGTAGTGTAGCTTGATTATCATCGACATCACGTGTTGGGCGTGGCTTGATAAATTGTACAGAATACAATGCTGCATGTTTCCACACTCTAACTTTTGGCACAAAATTTTCTAATAACTAGATTTCAAGCCATCCATGTGTATGCTTCAAATATGGATCATCTTTGCCCCTATAGTGAAAGCTGATATGTAAATAAATAACAGCTCTGCCCCAAACACTGGACTTTTGCTGAACACACTCTTGCTGTTACCGAGTTATTTAAGTGGGACCATCTGGGGAATGTGGGCCGTGGGGTTCTTGGCTTCTCAAGTGGGCCCCAGAACACTGGCAACCCCGGGCATGAAGGGCCCGGGAGGGTGGCCCTGCTATTCAGAACTGGGTAAATGGGGAGCAGCAGCAGCCCCCTTCTGGAAGGCACCCCTGCTTGATGTAGTGGCAATGGTCCTTGGGCTCCTCCTGGGGATCCCATGTGCTCGACCTCACACCAGCTTGCCTCTCCTTGGGCCCTGGAGTGACTGTGCAGAGTGCTCGCCCATATGCGCACACGCAGGGCTTAGCACCTGGCTCAGGACATCTCCTCCAGGCAACCTTGCCCTACTGACCACACCCAATAGTATCCCATCTTTTCCTCTGCATTTGGAGACTTGGTATATCTCTTTCCAGGTGTTCCTTACTCTGCTGAGAGAACAGAACCCTGGCTGAGCCTGAATGAGTCGTTTCTGTGCAGACTGATGGTAGACCTGACATTTGTACTGAGGCCCATTCACATACATACACACATTAGATGCAACATATTGCATTGAGTGATTAAGGAAGCTAGGTCCAGAGAGGGTAAGCAACTTGTCAGAGGTCACACAGTCAGGCCCACGCTCAAGGAGTTCTCATGTAATTAAGTTGTTTGTTTGTGTCCTAACTCTTTAACTAGGGAACTCACCCGCCTCCTCTCATGGCCCCTGCAGATGCCAAAGGGACCATCCGGGAAATTGTCCTTCCCAAGGGCCTGGACCTGGACCGGCCGAAGCGGACCCGCACCTCCTTCACAGCTGAGCAGCTGTACCGCCTGGAAATGGAGTTCCAGCGCTGCCAGTACGTGGTGGGCCGGGAGCGCACTGAGCTGGCCCGCCAGCTGAACCTGTCGGAGACCCAAGTAAGAGGACATTCAGGCCATTCCAGCCCTGCCCTGGCCACCTGGGAACTCCTTGGGTGTGAAAACCAACTTTGGAGGAGTTCAGACATGCATTAGGGACAGGCATAAAGTTACAGGTAGCCAGAGAAAATAAACACAGTGCTGACAAGAAGAGAGTTGGTGCATGCTGACTTCCGGATGCATCAGGCAGTTTGGATGGAATGGGAGAAAGGCTAGAGAAACCTTGGGTTTTCTCACAAAGAGTGGCTTAGGTGGGTGTTGGCATGTGAGAGAAGCTTGCAGAAAGGGATGGCGAGGGGTTGGATTGGGCAAGAGATGAGACTTTATACCCCCAGGACCTTGTTTCCCCATCCTCGCCTTCTCCCACCCTCTGCCACCTTCCCTTCATCCCAGTGTGGCTCAGAACCTCCTGTTACAGAGAAGGGGTTTGAATAAACCCTTCACCCAAGAAGGGCTTAGCATTTTAACAATAGTATGCTTAACCCAAAGGAAAAGCTTTTGTAAACTGAGTACCTACTCTATGTGAATGGAGGCATTTCAAGCTGGCAATGGAGCTACATCGTGACTACAACAATGATAATAATACTTGGTATTTGTGCCAACAACTTTAGTTGTTGTTGTTGTTGTTGGGGTTTTTTTAACCAAGAATGTAAGGACTTATTAGGGAGGTGGCACCATGCCCACAGTCACAGGTAACTCATACTCAGAGACCTGGCTCCCCGATGGCTTCCAGGGGGTGGATTATGCAGGGAAAAATCCTTAGTTGTGGTGGCTAATCGAGTCAGTGTCCTGGTCCCTACTAACTGGCTGGTGCCCGGGATAGCGGGTAATTGATCGTTGCATCTAGTCCTGACATCAGCCGTGGAGTTGTTCTGTCCAGTTTGGCAAGGAGCTGTTCTGTTGCATTGGTTCACTTTCTTGGGTCTGGAGCTAAAACACAACTGAGGCCAAGATTTTTGTTTAGTTTAATTGAAAACTCTGTCTCAGTGGTCAGTAGACCTAGGATCTTGTTCCTAAGACTAGTGATTATTGGCCAAACCTCACTGTCCCGAGAACTTAATGATTAGACAAGGAAGAGGGAGGTGGGTGAGTCAGGGCACTAGGTGAGGCCAGTTTGAGTCAAGAAAAAAATCAAAATAAAAGCCCAGATTAAAGAAAATAAGGTGTCTTCTCGGTTATAATTCTGTGTATGTCGATGACTAATCCCTTCCAACAACCCCTTGATATAGCTACCAGTATTATCCCATTTTACAGATGAGGAAAGATTATACCCAGGGTCATACAACCAAGAAGTTCCAGAGCTGGGATTTGGAGAAGCAGGCCAGTATCTTCATGCTGCCTGTGAACTAGGCGGTCAGCCTGGGGTTTGTCCAAGGGTGACTCAGAGACCCTTCATCAGCTACAGCTCTAGTCGTTTAACCCCGTGTATGAGGGGGATCAGTCAACAGATGTATTGCAAGCAAAGCCCAAACAGGGTTTGTAAGGAGAAGAGAGGCAAGAGAGGAGCAGGGAAGCCATGTGTGCTTCCAGGGGAAGGACTTAGGAGGGGTGAGGCTTCTCCCTGAACTGCCAGCCACTGTGTTCTGGCACTCTGTGTGCTGCAGCCAGGTGGGGATGGCACCCCTCCCTCCTCGGAATTCCTCCAGCTCCTCCAGTCTCACCGACAGAGTGCTGTCCAGCGCACCCCTCGTGATGGGGCAGTCAGGTGCACCTGGATTTTCTCACCCTCCTGGGGTAAACCCCAAGTAGGGCAGAGAGAGAGGTGGGGAGGGGTGAGAAGAAGAGGCGGGTAAGGCAGGGAGGATGGGACCTGATGTCCTGCAGGCCCAGGTTGACCCTCCCCACCTGGACCTGTTTTCCTCCAGATGCCTCTGTAGAGTCCCAAACAACCCAGCAGAGGGCCCACGGCAGCTGGGCCATCCCTCCAGCTGGGCTCAGCCTGGGGCTAGAAAGCCGGGCTGTGCTCACGGAGGAAGCTGCAGTGGCTGGACCAGGCACGAGCTCCTGGTGGACGGCAGGGAGACAGTTTCAGATCCCGAAGTCTAGGCACAGAGTCAGCCCTCAACACCTGCCCACCTTCTTCATCCTGACTACCCTCTGCCTCACCTAATTTTGCTCCAAACTCTCTCCTGAGACTTTGCTCTCCAAGCACACCTCAGATGCCCAGGTCAGCAGCTCCTTCTCAGTCCTCATCCTCCCCTTGCCCTGCCCCCATACACCTACATTTACCTGCCTTTGAAGGTCAAAGCCAAGCCCCTCTTCTAGGAAGCCTCCCCTCCTCCCAAGTAAACTTTATCACATGGCTTGAACTACAGTGTGTGTGTGTGTGGGGGGGGGGTTGTTGTGTGTGGTGTGGTGGGCACCAGCCAGTGTACACTTCCCAAGGACAAGAACGTGCTCAGAGGCCGTGTCTCTCCAGACCCCCTTGAAGAGCCCAGCACAGAGCTGGGCACACAGTGAGTCCTCAAGGAGTCCTCACCTTATTGATTTTTGCTTACCACCCTCCTGTCTCCTCTCAACCCCAGAATTTTGTGGATAATATAAAGTACAGCTAACATTTATTGAGAGCTTCCTGTGTACCAGACACTGTTCTGAGTGCTTGACATATTCTAACTCCTTTAGTCCTCACCACAAGCTTGTGGGGCAGGAGTGAAGTTTCTCTTCTGACACCGCTTCTCATGCCAAATGTGTGGTGCTTTCCAACACCAACAGCAACCAACTCTCCAGCACCAACTGGGTGTCCAACCTTTCAGTTCCATTTAATTCTTACACTGATCCCTGGAGGTGGTGGCACAGACCCCACAGGATAAAGGCTCAGTCTCACAGGACAGTCCCATGTCAGATGGCAGTCACAAGTCCCAGGGGCCTTCTTTAAAGAGGAAGAAACTGAAGCACAAAGAAATTAAATGTAGGCACACTTATTAGCTTATCTAATTTTTATTAAAAATGGCCTTAGATAATATTGTTCCCATTTCAGGACATTGAACTTCAGAGAGGTTAGTTAATTTACCCAAGGTTATATAGTGAGAATTCTGTGGAATTCTCAGTATATTCACCCATACCTTTGTTCAAAAATATTATTAAAGCCCTGGCCAGGTTGCTGAGTTGGTTGGAGCATTGTCCTGTATGCCAAAAGGTTGTGGGTTCAATTCCTGGCCAGGCCACATGCCTAGGTTGCGGGTTTGATCCCCAGGAGGGGAGGCAGCTGATCAATGCCTCTCTCTCTCCTCTCGCCCTCTAAAATCAATAAAACATATCCTCGGTGAGAATTTAAATAAATAAGTAAATAAATAAATAAATATTATTGACTCTGTACCAGATACTGTTCTAGGCACTAAGGATACTGCAGAGAACAAAACAGACTATGAACCTGCCTTTGCATAGTTTATATTCTACATGAGAAAGACAAACAGCATTTAAAAGTGATGAGTGCTATTAAATAACAAAAATTAAACGGAGTAAAACTTAAAAATCTTTTTGGCTTTATAGAATGATTCATGCATTGGGCAGCATCCCCTCTGGCAAGCAGAAGGAGCTCTCAGGAGCTGTGCAAAGTGGAAGGTTTTCGTAGGCTGGAGGGGACTGTTTCAGGCTTAGGCGAGCAGCCTGCCTTTGGGGAACAGAAGGAGGCTGTCCAGTGTATTATCTCATTAGCACTGACCAGGAAATTCCAGACTGACTGATTAAGATTATGTTCCTGGGAAAGAATGAAATTGCAGTTAGGTTAGGTATTGAGTCTCATTTTGGTGATGTGGGCTTAGCACAAGTGACTCCATTTTGGGCCTGTTGTCTGTTTTTTAACAGTGCTATGAGGGAGATAAAACATGACATGATAGAGACTAGAAGGAAACCCTTTATTAGGGCGGCCAGGAAAAGCCTCTTGAGGAAATGACATTGAGCTGAGATGTGAATGATAGGGAAGAGACAGACAGCTAGGTGAGGAGCCAGAAGAAGAGAAGTCAAGACTTAGGTGAACTGAAGGTCTGATGGTGGGAACTGGAATAGAATGTTTTAGAAGTGTCAGAAGGCCAGTGTGGCTAGAGTTGGAGGGGAATAGAGCAGGTAGGTGGGACAGATCATGTCATACTTAGAGGCGGTGAGGTGTTGAATGAAGAGTGGCATGAGAAGATTGGCAGTTTCAGAGGTCACTCTGGCTGCCGCTGGAGAATGGGAACAAGAGTGGTCCAGTTAGGACCTACTGTATGTTGTCTTAAAAGGAGTGGTGGTAGAGGGGAGGAGCGAACTGCTCTGAGATGTGCTCTCATTGCAGACAGGACCTGCTCATGGATTCTGTGCACAGGACAAGGGAAAGGGAAGTGGTTTGGGCTTGAATAACTGAGTGAATGCTGAGAAATGGTCAATGATGCTACTTGACAAGTTGAGAAAGTTGGAAACGAACAGGACAGTGGGAGAGGAAGCTAGAGTTTTGTTTTAGATCACTTAAGTTTGAAACCCAAGTGGAGCTGTGTGGAAACTGGATCAGCTTTTTCTCTGGGGGCTGGCTGGTTTTTCTCTGACTTACCTGAGGGATCTTAGTCAGGGCTCTTTGGGAGAAAAGAGATTTCTTCAAGTGTGCTCAGATAAGGGGTGGACTCCCAAGGGATAAAAGAGGAGGCACAGTCATCTGGGAATCCGCAAACAGGGACCACGGTACAACCAGGTCTGGTGGAGACTGGAAGCCAAAGGTCACTGTGGACCCAAGACGTGAGCTCCAGGTGCTCTCAGACCTCCTCTCTGCTGCGCCACTGAATACACGGCCCAACTGCTCTCCAAGTGCCTGCTTCTCTCTGGGCCTGTTCCTTTCTCTTCTCTTCTCTTCCTGCTGCCAACCAGGATCTCGACCCTCTCCCCTGGATACCGGGATGGCTCAGGAGTGGTCCTAATTCAAGCAGAGAAAACACAGGGCTTTCTCAGGACTCATTCAAATTTCTAGTCTCTTCCTTAACTTCTTTGTACCCAATCAACTTGAGTTGTCTTTAGATGAGAAGCCTATGTACGAGAGAGGGCGAGCGGAACAGTGAAGCCCTTTCCTCCCCTCCCCACCACCCGTGGAGTCTGCAGGCTGAAGGGGCCTTCTGATGTGGGAACAGTGAACACGACAGAGCGCAGCTGGTTTCCACCCTTGGCCTTGGCCCGAACCCGAGGCTGTGTAGTGAAGGAAGGCCCTGGAGAGCTGGAGGTGGTCTCACAGGGATCTCTCTTGGAAGCACCAAAAGAACTCTCCACCCGTCCCCATACCCCTGGGTGCATGTGCTGAAAGCACCTCTCCTGTCAGGGAATAGGAAAGGTCCCACGTAGTCCAGCTCCCCTTGTGTTTAGACACCCCCAACACACTTTGTCACAATACTTTGTTTTCAAGGAGAACGTTTGGTGTTTGATTAAAGCAGTGTTTCCCAAGGGTATAGTCTGCAAACCACCTATATGTAGGACCCCTTAGATTCGCATTAAAATATAGACTCCTGGCTCAGATTCCACTCAGCCCACAGGTTTCAAGTCAGACTGTCTAGGGAAGGCCAACACCTTACATATTTTTCAGCTGATGTGGTCATCATGCTGCTTTAAAGACATCAGCGTCTGCAGGCACTAGGCTAAGTCCATATTATTAGCTCAGTGATCATCACAGCAAACATGAGGAGGCATTATTATGGTCTCCAGTTTACAAATGGGAAAACCAAGGCACAGAGAGTTTAAGTAACTTGCCCCATGTCATCTAGCTAATTAAGGGAAGAACCAGAATTGAATCCAGACTGTCCGACCTCAGGGTCTTCTTCACTACATCATTTGCTACTCTACCAAAATCATAGCACTTGCTGGCCTGTCCATCTCTCCCACTGCTGGTGTCTGAGACCCAAGTGGGTAGAGGAGGAGTTTTGTTTATTCTGGCCATCTCAGCACCTGGCAATGCTGGCATGTACTGGGTGCTTGCTATTTATGTGTTGTGTGAATGAATGACCAAGTGCCAGGGTCAGGGCAGGAAGCAAGAAAAGCAGATGTGGCTGTGGAGAGAAGGCTGGCTGCAGGATCTCCCTCATTTGGCTGGCCCAAGGAATGTTTTCAGGACCAGGGACCAGGTGTCAGACTAAGGACAAACTGCCAAGTTCCAACACTGACATGATCACCACTTAGTTTGGATAAGAGTGGCCCTGGCTCTCCTCATCCCTGTGCCCATCACCTCTGCCCCAGGTGGCTTCTCCCAGAATAGCACAATAGGTGATACTTTCCTGGTCTGAGATAGGAAAACCAGGGCCACTCTGATATACAGGTACTGTTCATCTCAGATTAAGTATGTGCCCACAGTCACAGGAAGCAGTCTCTTAAATATTAACATCATTTCCAAATAAATAATGAGTCTTGGAATTTAACAATGACTGTGCATGAGCCTGAAGAAGGTGATGGATCATCTTCCAGAAAATGCTTCCCCAGTCTTGGCAGCCAAGTGGAAACCACAACCCCTCCCCTGGAGTGCAGCCATGGGGCACAGTGTCGTAGCACAAGGGATCAGGGATGAAGTCACCAAGCATTCAGTGATCTGCAGATGAACCAGGAGAGGGAGGAGACAAGATGGCAGCCCCCAGGGAGAGCACAGCGGGCAGGAGAAGACAAGGGGAAGGCCACACACACCCAAAAAGTGCATTGTCCTTCGGGATAGGATCTGTGCCTCCTGGAAGAGTGCACCTGAATTGAGCAGGTCCGAGTCAGGGCCGGCCAGGAGCCACAGCCTTGCTGTTTCCTCTGGCTCCCAGCCCTGCAAATGTCCAGCTCTGGATGCGAGACACAGAGAGCTTCAGCCAGCAGTTCTCTCATCTTGGGATCACCTCGTGAGTTTTAATGCTCCTGGTGTCAGGGTCCCAGCCACCCCCCTGCTGAGTGGACTGGTCTGAGGTCAGGAGTGAGTTAGGCCCCCCAGGGGGCTCTCCCAGGCACAGCTGGAATGTAGAGGCACAGCTGGAATGTAGAGGCACAGCTGGAGAGATGCTGTCCCAGTCCAGGGGAGAGGGGCAAGGGGAGTGAGGAGGGCCTGTGCTGGGGCGTGGGGAGGGGACTGTGGGAGCTCCACACAGGTTTCTGCGTGGGTAGCTGGAGGTGCCCCTCATGGAAAAAGGAGGGTGGCGGAGGCCCCTGTGCGGGGGAGTGGATCTGAGCTGGATGGGAGCCCAAGGGGTTTAACAGGCAGCTGGACAGTGGCCTGGATCTCGAGTTGGGAATTACCAGCACATAAGTGGTGGCTGAAACCCTGAACCTGCTTGAGTGGAAGATACGATGAGCCAAGAAGGAAACTTCGTTTGTGCCCTCCCAACTCCACCCTCCATCTGCCAATTCATTCCACCATCCTAGATCAGAGTCAGCAGTGAAGGGGGTCCATGATTTGGGGGGCCAGGGTCTCTTATCAGTTGACCTAGAGCACGCTGGTTGGGGGAGAACTTAATGACAATATGAATGCTCTTTTTCCCCCTCTCACCCCACCCTTGATCCCCACTCTGCACACCCGTGCACTTCCATGCCGCTCCTCTCCTTTTCTCCTCCCCCCTGCCCACTCTGCTTTGCTTTGCCTGTCCCCTCTGCCTTCCTGATGCCCTGGCCCCGACTCTGCCAAGGTAAAGGTCTGGTTCCAGAATCGCCGCACCAAACAGAAGAAAGACCAGAGCAGAGACCTGGAGAAGCGGGCATCCTCCTCCGCGTCTGAAGCCTTCGCCACTTCCAACGTCCTGCGGCTGCTGGAGCAGGGCCGACTGCTGTCTGTGCCCAGGGCCCCCAGCCTCCTGGCCCTGACACCTGGCCTGTCGTCAGGCCTGACTGCCGGCCACAGGGGCACCTCCTTGGGTGACCCCAGGAACTCCTCCCCACTCGTCACCCCACTGACCTTGGTGTCCGCGTCACCTCCGCTGCCGCCCCCTCCTCCAGGGCTCTGCTTCTCCACTGCACCACTCCTGGACCTGCCCTCGGGCTATGAACTGAGCTCCTCGGCCTTCGAGCCCTACAGCCGGAGCTACAGCAGGCTAGAACGGAGAGTGGGCAGCCCTGGTGGCACCAAGAAAGCAAACGCTTGAGCCTGCACCCCCATGTGACACTTTGTCCCCAAGCACAGCACCACCCTCGCCTCACAACCGGACCTAGTGGAGGTGGGCAGCCACATGACCTGCCCCACCTGCCCCCCAGCTCAGAGACTCTCTAGACCAGGACCATGCAGTGCTGGTCCCAAAGTTTGTGTGTGACAGTGTGGTGTGTGTGTGTGTGTGCCCCTCACTGAAATAAAAGGAAAACAATGATGAAGGGAAATGGAGTCCCCACAGCACCACCACTGCCCCTCCACACCCTTGGTCCCTCTCCTCTCTGGGAAAGAACATGGGCTGAGGCCAGGGGTAGGTCTCACCAGAGGGGGTGGAAACTGAGGCAGTATTCACAGTGGGGGAGGGTGGGGATTGGGGTACCTGGCTCCCACTCCCAATTAGAACTTCCACCCTGAATTCGCAAGCCCATGATAGCACTATCATGCTTTTGTGGGTTAGGCATTGTCCTTTGCAAGCTCTTTTTTCAAATATAAAAATACCTGAAGTGGGAGATGCTAAGTCCTTCAAGAGAGTGGATCCGGAGAACCTGAGACAGGGCATCAAAGACAAACCCAGGTTGGGCCCATCTGCTTCAGAAGGCCCGACCACCACAGACACAGCAATATGAAGCACTTAAAATTTTTTTCCCTCAAATAAGAAACTTAAAAAAAATTATTTATATATTTTTAGAGGAGAAGGGAGGGAGAGAGAGAGAGAGGGAAACATTAATGTGTGGTTGCCTCTCTCATGCCCCCTACCAGGAACCTTGCCTGCAACCCAGGCAGGTGCCCTGACTGGGAATCAAACCAGTGACTCTTTGGTTTACAGGCCGGCACTCAGCCACTGAGCCACACCAGCCGGGGCTCAAATAAGAAACTTTGATTAAATTTCTTATTTTGCCATAATTGTAGGTTAATAGGAAGTTGCAGAGATAGTCAAGAAACTTTCTTGCATTCTCCACTCCGTTTCCCCCAGTGGTTGGCTCTTCTGTGACAACGGTGTGACATTAGAGCCGGGAAATCCTCACGGGGACGGTGTGGGCTCAGGGCCGTGTCATTCCATCACTGTGTGAGATTCGTGGGCAACCCCTGCAATGGCAAGTCGGAACTGCCTGGTCGCAACGTCTCCCCATGCTAGCCTTTCAGAGTCATACCCAAGAGAGTTCTCTGAAAGAATGCAAACTGTGAGAGGGGGACCAGAGACCTGAAACAGGTCCTTAGTCCGGAGGATGCAGGGCAAGATCTGGGCTCTCTGGGGAGTAACAGTCTGCTCCAGGTGTTCTGTCAAGCACATATTTGGTTTCAAATTGGCTGCCCCGAGTCACCAACACTGGGTGCTGGGAGGGAAACCCTGAGTCCAGAATGAGACGTATGGGTGGCTGGGGCAGAGCTTGAGTTGGGAGTGTCCGGGCCCCACCCAGTGCCCACGCTGCCTTGCCCAGCAGACCTTTGTTCTCCGCTGGCCCCAGGGAAAGCACAGCTCCTTTTAGCCACCTGGCATAAAACACTGATCCTCCACTTGTACTTTCCGCCCCTGGCTAAGAATGTCCAGGGAGGCTGGCTGCCTGGGACCCTGGAGGTGAAATATAAGAATCTGAGACAGGGCTCCATGGTCACATGGGGAGAGCCCTGCGGTGGTCCCCAGGGAGCTGTCGCTGTTATGGGACAGAAAGGCTCTCAGAACCCGAGCCTGACGGAGGAGACACAGGTGCAACTCTGGGGCCTCGGAGACCAGTGACGCCGCAGACAAGAGCTATCCGAAAGGGTGTGCGGGCTAAAAACACAATAGCACTACTCTTCCTCCCCTCTTCTAAGGCATTCTGGCTGGGCCAGTGATCAAATTAACAAAGATTAACAGGAGAAAGTAGAATTTAATACACGCACAAGAGGAATTCACATAAGCATGAATATCCCAAAGACAGTGAGGCAAAATTAGAGTATGTGTCATTTTGGACAAAGAAGAAAGGGGGGACCGGGGTCTTAGACTTTAAAAGTAAAAACAGGCGATTTGCAGGTAACCGGGGAAGAGCAGAACACTCACTGCAGGTAAATTTTTGTTAGGCAACCCAGAAAACAACGGGACGGGAGGGGGTATGGGGGAATCTAATCCATGGGCTCGGCTTGGAGTCTTCCTGTCTGAGGCTGAGGTGACTGTGCTGAGCTTCCTTCCTGAAGCAGGTGTTCCCATCTGATCTCTTAGGCAGGAAAGCGGAGAGGGTCAAAGTTTCTTTCTGAGTCTTTTGTTTCTGAATAACCAACTTAAAATCCATATCCCAAAAGGCAGCTTTAAGGTGGCAGAACTTTGGTCCCCTTCAAGGGCATGACAGAGGAAAGAGACCAGATGCGTGGTGAGTCCAGAGAGCTGAAGGATCAGGGAAGACTTCCTGTAGGAGACAGCACTGAAGCTGACCCAAGAACGATCCTCCACAGGTGTTCAGAAGAAGATGATAATGGAATTGTGTGGTAGAAGAAGGGCCCCGGTACAGTCAGGGCCAAGGGTGCAGGACGAGGGCAGGTTGTGTGTGCGAGGATCTGAGTGGGGAGACCAGGAGATGTGTGAGGGGCCTGGACCTGTGAGAGTACCTGAAGTTCCGGGGGAGGAAATGAGTTCACATGCATTTGGAGGTGGAGGAGTAGCCAGCCAGACCCCACTGCCCCTCCCCTCCCCCATCTTCCTGCTTCAGGTGGCCTAGGGCACCTCCCATATCTGGAATTGCACCAGGAAACCAAGTTTCCCTGTTTATAGATGACTAGGGGGAGGAGAGGAGGGGAGAGGGGAGGGGTGACTGCAGGGGCAGGCTGGTCAGCTCTCTCCAGTTCCAGCTCGGCCTGGAGCGGTGGACCTGCCTCAGCAGGCTCAGGCACTCTGCCCCCAGCTCACCATGGCCACGAAGGTAGAGAGCAGGCCTGGGGGGCTCTCCAGCAGTGATTGCAACCTGGGCGCAGCTCGTGAGCACATGCAGGCAGTCACCCGAAACTACATCACCCACCCCCGTGTCAGTGAGTATGACCCCCAGTGGGTGAGGTTAGGGTGGGCTGCTGGGTCCACAGGCCCTACTTTTTAGCCTCGGGGAAAGAGGTGGACCAGACAACTGGGAAGACCTACAGGGCTTTTTGTCCAGGAGAATGATGCCATTGGCTACCTGGGCAGGGGCCATCTCTGTTGGTAGAGAGATGGGGGTCCCCAGCCCAGGCTACCCCAGAGGAGAGGACAGGCAAGTAGCTACAGGAACTTCCCTGTCATCACTCTGCTGCTGTGTGGAGACCCCAAGTCTAGAGACAGTTCCCAGCTCTCTGCCCCAGAGTGTATATGTGTATGGGGGTGGGGTGTGGGGGAGGGTATGTGCGTGCGTGCACTAGAACGCTCAGCATGAAGAAATATATGGTCAATGTTCTTGGGGCATGTGTAGCAATACAGTGTGTGTGCATTCCCGGGATGGGGAACTGGCCGGCACTGTGTGTTCATATCGATGTGTGTACTCCGCATGTGCATTCTGGGGGAGGATGTCTGTGTGTATAAGTAACCAGGTGAAACATGTGCCTGAGTGTGGGTGTTCCCATCTTTACTTGGGTGAGGATTTGTGTGGTGTGTGTGACAGCCTGAGTGTGTGTGATCAGAGTGAGGAAATGTGGGTATATGTGTCATTTTGGACAAAGTGTGAAAAGGGGAAACTGTGTGCATGCTTGCACACTCAGGGTGTGTGTGTGTATGTGTGTGCGTGTGTACTCAAGCATGCGTGCTCACGGGGAGAACACAGTGAGTGTGTGGTCAGGTGACATCACACATCTGTATGTGTGTAGTTGGGGGGAAGGAGCACCTGGTGTCTGGGGTACAGGCGTGTGTGCTGGAGTGTGCCTGTGTAGGCTTCAGAGCAGGTGTCCCTGTGGTGGCCTGAGTGCCTGTCCTGCAGGGGTGGCCCAAGTCCAGAAGTCTGGGACAGAGAACCTGGTAAGGCCCCCAGGGCCAAAGGAAGCCCTCTGCCCTTGCCGTCTCTCCTAGTCCAAGGTCATTCTCCCTGGCTTGGCAAATTCTAGAATTCTCAGACAGCCCAGCTCACTGGAGGAAACCGGCCTGTCCAGCACTAGCTGAGGTGAGCCAGAGGCTGTTAACAGGGTGTGTACCAGGAGAAGCCAGCCTAGCACAGCCACCCCTCCCCCACTCTCCACTTACAGTCCAGCGGTGGGGGGTGGGAGGAAGGACCTGAGAGGGCAGCTGAGAGCTTAGTCTGCACTTGGGAGTGGAGCCCCAAGAGGAGCCCAGGGGGTGTGAGGCACCTCCTTAGGCCCAAGCTGGCCCTGAGGGGTGGAGTATATTCCAGCTATGGAGAAAAAAGGAGTGGCCCTGCCAGCCCGAGCCTGTGGACGTGCAGAGGACAGAGGCCCAGATTCTCCCCTGGGGCAAGAAGGGGTCCCCAAGGCCCAGAAATATGTAGTGACTGGCCCCCATCTTGCGTCCAGAGCCCAGGCCTGGAGACCTGAGAGGAGCTGGCTGACTCTGGTCCAGGCCTGAGTGATGGCCCACCCCTGCAGTCCCTCCCCGCCGCCCCTCCTCCCTGTGGGACAGGAGAGCTGCCAGCATCCTGAGTGGGGTGTGGGGTCTGAGGCCTGGACCTGCATGCTTTGCTTTCCTTCTCCCTGGAATGTGCCCACCCAGGAACCTGCAGGTTGCACCCCCACTTCCCAGCCAGTTCCTTATTTATAGTCAACAAGCCTCCAGTCAAGTTTGACTGGGGCTGGAACCCAGGGGTGGCAGGAAACCTGTCCCCGATCAGGTTTGCAAGCTCATTGCTCTATGTGGTCCCCAACCAGACAATTGTGTTCACACACAACAGCTGACCCAGAGGCCAGGTTAGTGCCGGGGAAGCCACTTTGGTCTCCACAGGTGTGTTAAAGATGTTATTGCAGTGACAGAGGCCACCACCTTCACTTTTGCTACACACCAGTGTCCTCACGGGATACACCCAGGAAACAGCCCTAGCCCAGCCTTAACACCCACCCACGCCCAGGGCAGGCAGGGCACCTGCCGCTCTCACCAGTTCCCCTCCTTTCCTTCTCCGGAGCCTGAGGCAAAAAAATCCCCGGAGCTGCCCCCCACAGAGGCTGGAGGCAGGACTCCAGCGTCTTCTCTGCCCTCCACAGTAGTCTGGCCTTCTACTGGGGGGGGATGGGCTCTAATCACTTCCAGTCAGGAGAACTTTTTAAAAAAACTAATCCTCACCCAAGGATATATTTATTGATTTTAGAGAGAACGGAGAGAGACAAACATCCATCCGTTGCTGGTTGCCTCCCATAAACTCCTGGACCGGGGATAGAACCAGAAATCTTTTGGTGTATGAGATGATGCTCCAACCCCCTGAGCCACCTGGCCAGGCCAGACAGGAGAACTTTTTTGTGTAGAGAAGGAAAGAGGCTAGGACGAGGGCAGCTGGCTCCTAGCCCCAGGGCTCACTGGGCCAGTGGGGTGAGTCCAGGAGGCTTCTTGGAGGAGGAGGTGGCCTGAGGCACTGCAATGGCTGGGGAGGGAGTGGGCCAGAAAGGTAGGGACAGGGTGAAATCTGAATGGAGAGTGAACCCCAGCCATATCCACTCCTGGAAATAAGGGACCCCTTTGCCACCCTAGGAGCTAGAGTTGTTCCCCAAGGAAAGGACATGGCATGGCTTTATCTGGTCTTATGGGGCAGAAGTTGCTAGGCTGGTAGGGTGAGGGGCACAGCATGAGCAAAAGTTATGATGGACAGGCCGGCAGCCTGGCTGGAGGGATGCAGCCGGGTCAGATTGCCCAGGGGCTTTAGTGCCATAGCACAGGCTGCCTCAGTTCCCTCAACTGAAGGGCAAGGGAGGTTACACTGAGAGATTCCACCCCACAGGGTCTTGGGCTGATTCTAAGAACCTTCAGATTCCAGCCCTTGGCCCCCCTTCCCTAATTCCTCCAGCAGGATCAGGGAGGAGGTGAGGGACCTGCTGCCCCAGGCTTGCCCCCACCCTGGCCTCATGCATGGGCGCCTGCCTCAGCCCTCTCCCAGGACGCTGCAGGTGTGTGGCTGGGCCGTCCTAATTAGTGAGCTGCCGGAGCCCCCTGCCGAGCCTTTGACAAGGAAGGCGGCGAGGAGACAGGGTCAGGGAGGGGCTGGACCGGCCTGCAGCCCAAAGTGCAACCCAAAGTGTCAGCTAGGACAATGGAAAGGGGGTGGGTGGGCAGGGCAGCTGGAGGGACAGTCTACAAAGTCTCAGGAAGGCCTGTTGAGGAAGTGCCCTCCAGGGTCTTCTGGTTCAGCACTCTGCCCGGTGCTGTCCCCAGCCTTCACCTCTCCACCTCTCCAGGGCCGCGGGTGTGTCCCAGGGCCGGGGCAGTGACCTTTTCCATGGGTGCCACAGGATACTGTCCTGACCAGTGGTGTGCCCCAGGGAAATCAGCTGACTTTCTGGGCCCCACTTTGCCGCTCCATGCTGTGGACACAATGGGCACAGTTGGGGGTGGGCACAAACCAAGGCCTGGCTTCCAGTCAAGGACACCATCCTTGCTCAGCCACCACCCTGCCTGTGTCCAAACAAGACAGCCTCTAAGAAGAGACATAGACTAGTTTGATGGCGGAACACCCTAGTCCGAGGGGAAAGGCTGTCTTCTCAAGGAACAGACAAGCTGGAGAACAGGACACCCTCTAGGGTGCAGCCTGGAGCACTGTGCAACTTCAAAGGCAAGAGGACCCAGTTGGCTGCAGCCCAAGGCAAAGCTTTAAAAGATGTGAATAGCTAGATGCTGAACAGAAACAGCAACATAACTGATTATCTGCAGTGACGGCTGGGCCACAGAGTCCTGTATTCATCCAGCAGCTATTTATGAGGCCCACTGGAGCCGGCCCGGGCCTGCTGGAGGCCTGGGAAGGCAGCTTGCAGACTAGGCTGTTGCAGTGAATAGACGAGGGTCTCAGAGAGTGCATGCTGGTCAGCCGTGCAGCCCCGGCCAGGGCAGGCACAGAACTGAGCAGCTGGCAGCCCCATGGCCTGGCTCCGCTGCAGGCAGGCACTTGTCCGGGCCCCTAGGCTCCCCCCAGACCAGCCCTTTCTCCGTGGGGGCTGGGGGCGGGGTGGCAGATCCAACCCCCTCTTTGTGCCCATTACCATCACCACTTGGCCTTCCTTGGATGCTCCACTCCTGAGGTAGAGTTGTTGGATGTCAGGGTTAATGAGGATTTCACGTGACAGAAGCTGTGAAGTGAGGGGAGCCGACTGTGGACACGAGGGGGAAGCGGAAAGGCTTGTCCCTCTGGCAGAACTGGAAATGGTTCCCTGGGGCTTTCTGGACCTCAGGCCTTTCCCCCTCTCTCAGCCCACCTCCCTGTGAGGCCCATCCACCCTGGGTCTTCCTTCTGCTGTCTCAGTCCTTTTCGGTGGTCTGATATTTTCTCTACAGGGCCAGACAGCAAGATGCCAGCTCTTCTGGGGCATTTTTAAATGTGACACTCTCCCCACCCTTGTGCTTTTTCTGGCATTCCCACAATCCCTTCCCTCCTCCCTGCTTCCCTGTCCTTCCTCTGCTGGGCTCACCTGCTCCACTCTGCTCTGGCAATCCAGAGAATTTTGTCGAAATGCCAGGTAAGCCAGAGGGACACCGAGTGGCTGCTTGGCACGTGTCCTTCTTGGTGGTGGGGAGGGGGATGCTGCAGCCTCTGCCCTGCCCCCTCATCGGGGTCTTCCTGTGCCCCCACCTTAGCTCTATGCATCCTCTCTCTCATCCTGTCCACCCTCTGTCTTCATGGGAGTGGCAGGGGCCAGGGCAGCGAGCCCTCATCTGGTGTGGGGCTGGGGAAGCGCTGGTGGGGGCACACGTGGGTTTTGATGTGGGAAATACGGGGCCAAGCTGGTGGGTCTGGGTAACACCTTCCATAACTCACCCAGTGAATACTTACTGAGTGTCTACCATGTGCCCACACTTTTCTAAGAGGTGGGGACTCGGCAGTGACCCCTGCAGACATCCCTGCTCTCATGTCTCCTGGGACTATGTCCTCCTGCACCCCAGAAGTGAGCCTGTGCAAGCCAGCCACACTGCCCTTCTCTGTTCCCCGCAGGCACCAAGTTCCTTCTCGCTGCCGGGCCTCCTCACCTCTGCCAGATGTGCCCTTTGCCCAGGGGGCGGGGGGCTGCTGATGATTCCCCCTGACGAGAAGCCTCAGCTCAAATGGCCCTTCCTGAAAAGTGCGTGCTTCCTCTTGAGTGCCCAGGCTTCTCACCCACTCCCACCCACCCTGTCCTCTCCCTTCACAGCACCTACCGTGGTTTGTAATTGAATTGTTTTATCTTCAGCCCCTCTTTTTAACTGTAGGCTGCCTGTTTTATTTGCCACCCATATTTGCCTAGTCAGTACCCATAGGACATCTGATAGACATGCTTGAAGAAAGAAAGGGAAGAGGGAAGGAAATGCAGATCATCCAGGGGAAGGAGAGTGAGAAGTCCAGAGCCAGGTCCCCGCCTTGAGGCCCTCCAACTCCCAAAGGTCCTCCAAATACGTTGAGGAGCAGCCAGAGAGGTGGGGTGAGGGGCATGGAGGGGCAGGGCCTCCCAGGAGCTGTAGAGGACAGTGCCTCCAGGCTCTGGTCCCTTTAGATTTAGCAACTCACAAGCCACATGTGGCCTAGCGAACAGGCAGAGTGGAGAGGGCGAGAGTTGGGTGGAAGGTGGAAAGGAAGAGAGCCGGGCGTCTGCCTGTGAGAAACTGGGCTGTGAAGGCAGCAGCTGGAGAGGGACTGGGGCTGAGGGGGTGGTTTCAAGACGGGAGACTCCAGAACCGACTGGATGGAGAGGCCAGAAAGAGAGGGAGGCGCTGGACCTTTACTCCAAAGAGCAGTCACCTCCAGCGTCTGACTTAGGATGGAAGTTGGGGTACCTCCTGGCTGAGGGAAGAGGAGAGAGTGGCTCCGTGGTTTGCCAGTTTGAGGGCAACAACGTGAGGGAGTCCCCTCCCTGCTCCAGGCCCAAGAAGAGCTTATCTCCTGGTGCCCTCCTCCTGTTCTAAAGTTCTCCTCATCGGCTTCAAGCTCAGAAAAGCCCTGCAATTATCTGTGCAAAAATACCCTTGCCTAGTGTGTCTTCCTAGCCCAAGACCCAATCAGAGGGACTTACATCCACAAAAATAAGGAGTCTGACCACTGGGGAGAGCGTGAGCGGGGATATCGTTTCCCTTGGTGTGGTGTGGCTTGGCACCATCCAGCCTACAAGCAGAGGGCAAGTGGCTGGGAGCCAGTGTGTCTGATGAGAGAGACAAAGGGAGGACCCCGGCCTCTCCCCTGCCACAAGCATCTGTGTCACGCTGGGCCCTCCATTCCTCGCCTGTGAAAGGGATGCTTGGACCACTCTCCCCTGGGACGCCCTCCCAGCCTGTGAGTGACTCCGAGACTTCACAGACACTCTGCCCTGCCCACTTCCGTCCCTCAGTTGTCTCAGTGGTGCTTTACAAGGACCCCAGCGAGGGACTGCAGTATGCCAGGGGTGTGGGTGGGGAGGATCCGGGGCCCCTCAGCCAGCCCCTAGAGGAACCAAAACAGGGTTCCTGCCTGCCAGTGCACGGCTTCTTCTGGGGGGGTGGGGCAACACTGGAGTCCAGAAGTATTTCCTAATGTGTAATCCAATCACTCCCGGTAAGCAGAGCTCATGTCCCCATTTGCGGATCTCTGCAGCCACTAGGACTGAGACCTTCTGCGGCTCCCCCTTCTTTGCCGCTTTCTCCCCTCCCCCACGGGCACCCAGTGAGCCTGGGGAGCCAGGGAGCCTCCGTGGCAGGGCCCTGTGGCAGAGCAGGGGTGCTGGCTGGCTTTTCTCACTGACACCTGCACCCCCTACACACACAGCGTTCAATCAGTGTGGGGCGATGGAGAGAAGTGTGGTCCTGGTGAGGGTCGGGGAGGGTGGTTCTCTGCCACCCTCCGCCACCGTGGGGGCCAGAAGCTTTTGGCAAACACTGTGGGTCAGAGAGGAGGTAGTGGGTGAGGGGCTGAGGCCAGGGGGAAGCAGCCTCAAGGATGAGAAAGGCCTCTGCGTGGCTGAGGAGGGGAGACTCTGAGGGGCCTTCCCCTCGACCTGGCCCTCCCCCAGCCTCCTGCAGGTGTCCGAGGCGGTGGGGAGTCCTGCAGGCAGGGTCACGACCCTTACAGCAATGGTGGCTGGCTCTGTCACAGCTAATGACTCTGATGGCCCAGGCCCAGGAGGGGATGGGGCTGGTGTTAGAGGGAGGGGAAGGAGGGTCAGTGGAGGATGCCGCTGCCTGCCTGTGTGTGTGTGTGTGTGTGTGTGTGTGTGTGTGTGTCTAGGTATAAGACCCTCACCCTCCCACCCCTCCCCCAGCCTACAGGACTGTGTGCAGCGTCAATGGGCCCCTGGTGGTGCTGGACCAGGTCAAGGTAAGACTCCCACCTCTTCCCAGGCTCCAAGGCTAAATCCCAGGACTCCCTAGCCCCATAGGTGCAGGATTTACAGAATTTCTTCTAAATTGCCCTGTCCCTAGATGGCCCCCAAGGGCTTGTCCTGTCCTGTTCTTTCCGATCCCCTGCCACCTGCCCCCCCAATCATCCTCTGCAGCTGTCTCCCAGCCACTCGAGGTTCTCCCTTCTTGCTTTTTCAGTGGGGACCCTACTCTGGGCCTTCAGGGAGCACTATCACCCATGAGCTGGGGGACCCAGGCTATTGCGCCTCTTTCCGCATCAGCAGAACGGCTGTGTCTAACTTCCTCAGAAGGCTGGACACTCCCACCTGCCACTCTCACAGCTCTTCTTCTAAAGTGAAGGGCAGGCGGCAGCAGATCACCACCAGCTAACGTTTCTGCAGAGCTGGAGGCTTTCAAAGGCCTTCGGAATATCTCAGCCTGAGAACCAGCAGCTGGGGTGGGAAGTGAAGTGGGCCTGGAGGAAGGGAATGGAAATGGGATTCAGGCTACATTGTGTCCCCTGGGGAAATGCAGGACCCTGGCAGACACTGGCAGTATTTTGACTCCTATGGTGAGGGATTCTTGAGGCATAAGGAGCCCTGCAAGGGTATGGGCCCTGTACCTAGCGGTTGCACCCCACCACCCCTTCCCCCCTCCTCCCCACCCACCTCCTACCCCACCTCCCAGGTGGGCAAACTGGAGATCTGAGTGCCACCCTTGACTCCTCCCTCCCCACTCTGTCAGGGCACATGTTCTGTTGGCACTCTACCCCACCCCCCTGCAATACTCTATCCTGGCCAGGGCCTCTGGGACCCCAGCCTGGCAACCTCCCATCTGCCACCCTGCAGCCATGCAGCCCTGACCTCTCCACTCCGTGCTTCAGACTCACTCAGGGCTCCCTGGTGCCCTGCATACCTTTCCACTCTCACGTCTTATCACTCTCCCTTGTCTACTTAGAAACCCACAGTGTCTCTGCAGCTGCTGTGTGATGTCTCAGGACCTTTGCACGTACTGTCCCCTCTGCCTCCTTGACTACCTTTCCGCCATGCCCTCCATCTGACTCACCCCCAGAGCCAGCCGACAGCTTACCTCCTCCTGGGAGGGCTCCCAGCCCCCTTGGCAGTGAGCCTGTCCCCTGCTCTCATTTTTGTGTACTGCCTTGTGGTCAGCATCCCATCCATCAAGGTAGCTGGTCAGCACTTGGCCACATGTCTCCTTCATGGCCCACCCCTCACTGTGCCCTCCTACTGGGCTTTGGTGGCGTTGCACCAGTCCTGAGCTCCTAGAGCCCCACACCGCACTTTCACTGAACAGCCAGCTCATGGTGCGTGCTCGCTTTGTTCAAAGGAAGAGTGAGTAAGTGAAGGAGATGGATGGATAAATAAGTGTTATCATGACTAATGTGGACGTGTCAAAACCTGAGCCAACTACATTAAAGAAATCAGACCCACTCATTCCTGGAAAACAGATTCCACACTCAGTGGACATTACTGGTCAACCCACTGATGCTGCGGACGCCCTGGGAGGAGGGATGGCGGAGTAGTTGTGTGTCCGTGCCGGGGTCAGACAGTCTGACTCAGGCTTCTTGAATTTCGATCCCAGCTCCATCTCACCCTTGCTGCTCCAACCTGTCGGGTCTAGATCGGCAGCATCAGCGCCATCTGGGAACTTGGTAGAAATACAGGTCCTTGGGCTCCATCCCAGACTGACAGAATCAGGAACTCTGGGTGTGAGGCCCCAAAGTCTTTTTAAAAGCTCTCCAGGTGATCCGATGCTCCCTGAAGTGTGAGAGCCATCTGTCTAGGATGGGAAATCCCCGTTTCCTCACCTCTCAAGTGATCGCAGCGCTGCTGCGAGGGTCAAATCAGGTAAATGTATAATTACTGTTCCTCCAGGGTTAGCGATAGCGCTGCCTGGAATGCAGAAGTGCTGAGAGTCCTGATTAAACCCTTGGTGCCATGCCCTGCCCCCTCGCCCACCTCCATCACACCCCCTGCTGCGCCTGTCAGTCTGCAGGCCACAGTGCCCTATGGAGAGGCAGTACCCACGCAGAGGCCCATGTTCTCAACTGTAAAATGGGGCTGGACAAGGAAACTGGAAATAGACCCCCAGACCTATGATTCTGTGATGATCGCGTGCATCTGGTACTCTTGCAGAACAAAATAACTGGCAGACGGAGACACCCAGAGAACCCTGAGCTTACAAGGGGACAGAAAGGAATCGGTGGTTTTAGTCTCATAAGGTCGGAAGGCACCTTTGTTGTCCCCCTCCGTTGCCTCACACCCCTTTCCCTGTTCTAGGGTTGTTTGGGCAAAATGCCACAATTCCTCTTCTACAGCGCCACCTTCTGTCCACATGGAATCACACAGGCAATTAATTTGCTTCATCCTCAAACGGAAAAATATTGAGGGGAGAATTTTGTGTTCTAAGATCGGATGTTCTTAGCCCCGGGAATAAGGGCCTTGAAATTGTATGCAGACATTTAGAGGTATGCATTGATGTGCCTGTGCATTTTTCTGAGGGTAGTTTCCACAGTTTCATCTGATTTTCCAAGGTGCAAGTTCCTGCCAGTCTTCCTAAGAACTTCCGAGTCTTCCAAATGTGTTCGGCAGCTCCTCTGTGCTTCATTAAGGGCTGATTGAAAACTCAGTTGAGTCTCCAGCAGAAGAGATGGGTTGCATTGTGCCATCCCCACTCTCTGCAATGCTCTTAGTAACCAACAGTGAGGATGGACAGAATCAGGCTTGCTCAGTATGAGCTGGGAGAGGGGCTTCCTTGGGTAAAAGCTCACTGTGGCACACTGGAATCCTCACCCGAACTCACTGCTCTAAGTGGCTATGACCACCCTTCCCTACAAACAAATTCCCAGCACGGAAACACAAGAGGTCCGGCTTTCTCTTCCTAAAGGATTCCAGATTTCCGTGGCTGGGGATGATGGTTCTGACAGTTCTTCCTACTGTCTGACTATACTCTCTGCTATATAAAGTTCATTTCCTCTGATTTCATTTTTCAGGGGCACACAGTGTGCCACTTACTGTCCACTCCTTTCCTGTCATCCTACCTACCCACATAAACCCACATTAAAAGAATGGCTTTTTATCACCCTGCTACCTGATTTCTACATGCGGGGCCCACTGGCTGATCTCTTTTGGGCCCACTCTGGCCTGTGCAACAACTTTCCTCCTGAGATCAGCAGCCCACCATCCGTTCTGCAGACAATGAGACCAGTGGCGGGTTCAGGAAGGGGGAGGTCCAGGCAGAGCGGCAGAGGGAATAGAGCTGGGGACTCTTAACTGAACTTTCCCAGGCCACGAAGTCCTTGCTCTCGGGCTCCCTCTTGTGGTTCAGAAGCCGAAAACGTCTGGGCGTTAGCAGCTCCGCCTGCGGCCGACCCTTCCTCTTGAGTCGAACCCCTCCCGGAGAACTCCCACTTCAAAGGGTCTGAGGGGTGGCTTGAAGGAGAATCAGGTGGCCTTCCAGCCATCCTCTTCACAGGACGAGGAGGGACCCAAGCCAGAGCTTCCTACAGTAACGATCAGAGCTGCAAACCCTCCTTTCTTAGGTTCGACTCCAGCAGGGGTGCCCTGGGGGAGGGGACCCCACGCTGGTCGTACTGAGTTGGGAAATTGTGCCATTTGCTCCTCTTTCCTCGCCTGTAAGTTCACCAGTTTGTGGTAAGTTCACCCGTTTGTGGAGAGCGGAGGATATAATGATGGTGATGATGGTGAATAACCACGTGCACATGTTCCAAATTTTCATTACATTTTAATATTTTAAGAATGCTCCTTTGAACTAGTAAAACAAAGAAAAGACACATAAAGTTAACTATCTGCCCCCTAACCTACTGAAATAACCAATGTGAAGGTACTGCTATGTTTGGGCAAGTATATGCATATCAGAGGTTTACATTGGTGTTACTCTCTTAAAACATGTCGGATTGATACACATTTTACTCACTCTCCTTGATAGCAGTGATGTAGGCAATAGTGCAATGTCCTGTGTCTTATGGAATAACAGTTCCATTACTAATAGACTTCAGCATGTTTCCAGGTTTTGCTGCTACAGATAGTACTACATATATATATACATATGTATACACATGTATATACATATATGTGTGTATATATATATCCCTTTCATTCGGACGCCTTTCATTCATTCATATATTTATATGAATATATATTCATTTGTTTCATTCATATATATCCCTTTCATTCGGATGCTTTTATTGCTATAGGATAGATGCCCTGACATAAATTGCTGGGTCCTGGTGTATATTTATTTTTAAATAGACATGGACAGTTTGGGGCTTATCCCAGCAAGGGTGGGGCAACTCACACATTCCTACCAAACCTGTAAGAGAGGACTCACCCTTGCCAACCCCAAATACGTTTTCTCCTTTAATTTCGCCTGTCAGATAGGTGAACATTAGTGCTCTCGCTCTTCCCTGATGAGAGGGGAGCTGACCCTCTCAGCTGTTCATATCCCACTCCCTCCTCTTGAGCTGTACAGCTTGAGTTGTTGGAGCTCTTTGTTTATTGTGTGTGGTGTTTGTACCAGACAGAAATTTCAAATGCTTATAAAATCAAATATTTCTAGTTTTTCATTTATAGCTTCTGGATTTCTTGTCTAAGACATCTCTCTTATCCTGCTTTTAGCTGGATTACCCAGAAAGAAAATAAGGAAGAAAAGTTCCTCTTCTAGGGTTTTTGTTTGTTTAGCTTTATATTTAAGTCTTTTATATATGCCTGGAACGTGTTTGTGTTTCTGATGTGGGCGTCTTCTAAGTAGACACCCAGTTATGTTAGCACCATTTGCTCAATCATCTCTTTACCCTGGGAACTAAAGTGCCACGCTCGTGCTGTGACACTCCCCCCAAACCGGCTCGCTCCCGGCTCTGGGCTGCCTACTCGCCCCCTCCTCCACTGTCTGCCCACTGTCTGCCCCCCACCGACACTCCTCAACTGCCTGCAGTAGCTTCAGAGCGTTTTAGTACCAGATAACTCAAGTCCTTCATCCCTGATCTTTTCTGTAACTTTTTTTTTGGATATTCTGACATTTATGTGAATGTCATGACCATTTTAAGTTCCAGGAGAAACAACAATCCACTGTGAATGTGTTTAATGTATATACTCTTGGAGGGATTTATATTTTTATGATAGTAAGTCATTCTGTCTTGAAAAAACAGTGTTTCTCTCCACTTGTTCAAGGCTTCTTTTATGTCCTTCTATAAGATTTTATTATTTTGTTGTACCTTTCTTGTTAGATTTACTTCTAATATTTTATGGGTTTTGTGGATGGAATGCTTTTCTTCATTTCCTTTTCTGTTTATAGTTTGAAAAAGATATATTTATTTTGTATACAGACAAGTTCTCTGATTAATCCTGGAGTTTGTTGTTTCTGTTATAACTAGATCCTCTTGGGGATATATATATATATATATATATAGTGTGAAAGTAAAGGGAATTATGTCTTTTCCTATTGGCATTGCATTTAATCTTTATGTCTGTTTAGCCTCCTACAATCTGGAACATTTCCAAAGAGACTTTTTTTTAACATTTTTGAAGAATACAGTCTCCTCTCCTTGCCACTTTAAAAAATATATAAAACATTCTCCATTTATGTTTTTAGTATACTCTTTTCTTCCTCTTTTTCTTTTTGTCTTACTGTATAAACTAAAATTTCCAAAACAAAATTAAGTAACAATGGCAATACAGGCATCTCTGTGTCATTGATTTTATTGGAGGTGAAAATGGGGTTAGAATTTCACCATCTGCTAGGATGTTGATGTTGGTTTTAGAGAATAGTCTTGTGTTCAAGGGCTTGCCTGCCACTCCTGTTTTACATAGAATTGTATTAGAAACAGCTGCTGGCCTTTATCAACCAACTTTCAAGTTTATTTACATAATCCTATGGAGTTTTCCTTTTCATTTATGTTGACAAACTCTCTATTATTATGAAGTATGTTGTCAATTGTTGAAAAACTCCCAAATGTTGATTGACCTAGGCTTGAGTTCTTGGAATAAACCCTACTTGGTCATACTTGTTATTTATTTAACACACTGATTGATTTACTGAGTAACAATTTATAATTTCTGCATCTATATAAGAAATGGGTCTATAGTTTTTTGGTGAGCTGTGCTATGCTCTTTATTGGTTTAGGATTTGGGGAGTTTTTCACTTTGTAGTTTTGTCTCTAATCTTTATTTTCTGTTTATCTTATTACTTTTCTAGTTCCTCCAGTGCATGCTGAACAGCACGATGAAAGCAGGCATTGTTGGCTTGCTCCTAATTTTAAAGAGAATGTTTTATACATTATACCACTCAGTATAGTATTTCCTGTAGGTTTTTGAGATACTTTGGGGGGTTACAGAATTTTCCTTTTATTCTCTGCTATCATAGAGTAGTTTTGTTCTTGTCTTTTTAAAAATTGAAATTTATTGGGGTGACATTTTAATGATATTATATAAACGTCAAGTATACAATTCTTCACAGCCTCATCAGTACGTTGTGCTGTGTGCTCACCACCCCAGTCCCCTCCCCTCCCATCTCCGTGTGTCTGACCCTTACCCTCTTCAGCGCCCTGACCCCCACCCCCGTTCTTTGTCTTTTGTTTTCGATTTTGGATAGTTTTTAAAAAACTTTTTCTAAAACTTTTTTAGATGATCACAGATTTTTTAAACCCTTTTATTAAATAAGAAAATTGCATGAATAGGCTTTCTAATATTAGCCTAACCTTGAATTCCTGGAATAATCCCAACCTGGTTTTTATTATTTTGATTTGTGTGTGTTTATCTTCATTTTTTGTGTTTTAAACTTCTTTCTTTTATTATTTGGTTTGTTTGTAACTTGCTGAACTTGGTTTGCTAAATTTTGTTTAGGATTTTTGCATCCATATTCACAAGTGAGATTATCTATAATTTTCTCACAATTCTTATTTTAGCATTGATGGCATGCATGCTTCATACAGTGAATTACAGACCATGCCTTTCTTCCAGTCTTTTAAAAAGCTTGAATAAGCTTCAAACTATTTGGTCCTAATCATTAGAACTCACTGGTAAAATGACCTGGGACTAGTATTTTCTTCATGGAAAGATTTTTAAATATTTATTTAATATCTTAAGTGTTATAGGAATATTCTGACTTTACATTTTGTTTTTAAATGGTTTTGGTTTGAGTTGAATTTTGCTAGCACTTGATTCATTTCATACAAGTTCTGAAATATATTGCATAAAATAGTTCATAATTCCTTTTATCTTTTTAGTAGTATTAGTATAGCTACTTTTGACTTTTTTATTCCAACAGTTACTTATTCATGACTTTTCTCTTTTTTAAAAAATCAGTGTTGCTAGAGATCTATTTCATAAGGCTTTTCAAAAACCAGTTGGCTTTGTTGACCTTCCCTATTACATGTTGGTTTTCTGTGTTAATAACTTCTGCCCTTTTATTATTTCTCCTACTGTCTTAGAGTTCTAATGCTGTTCTTTTTCCTTTTACATTTCACCTTTTTTCTTTTTTAATATAAGCACAAAGCTCTACATGCATCACATGTATGTCGATATGCAGTTTTTCATTATTGTGCAGTACTGAATGTTTTCTAATTCTGATGGTAAGTTTTTCTATATTTAGAATGCTTTTACATTTTCAAATGTATAAAGGTTTTCTGTCTTTTCGTTATTGATTTCTATCTTGCTTTTACTGTGATCAGAAAACCTGGTGCAGCTTGATGTGTTCTATGGGTTAGGATGTGTTTTTAGTCTTTTCTATTTCATCTGTCTTTGCAGTTTTGATTGTCCGTTTGTCTAATGTACAAGGAGTATTTAGAAGAGTACTTGGAGTTTCTAGAATATTAGAAACTTTATGGAGAGGGGTGTTGTCTTTATTACCATTTATTTTTATTGGACTAAGCCTGTGACTTACTCCCTGAAGCAGACCATCAATCTGGGCAGCAAGGCGAGGGGGCCTGGGCGATGCTCTGCATTCTCGCCGGCGTCTCCCTTGGAAAGAAAGTGCAGGTACAGGGCTTAGCTCCCTCGGTGCTGATGAGAGCTGAGGACCAGTGTCAGCGTGCAGTGTCTGCTCTCCTGGCCCAGCTTGCCTGGCCCAGCTTGTAGCCTCCTCTAGACATGGGTAAAGATTGGGAACCTGGTTCCTGGAGAGTGCTCAGTGTGTTCGCCATGAGTCCCCAGGGCAGGAACGATGGTGCCCTCCAAAAGACCTAAATGGCCATAATAGCTACTGAATGTCATCGAGCTGTTGCAAGGTGGTGGGCACCAGTTAATAATGCCACGTATATTATCTCTTTTTCTCCCCAAAGCAGCCCTATGAAGTAGGTATTATATTATGATTATTACCCCCATTTCAAAGACGAGAAAATGAAGATTCAGAGACATTATATAACTTCCAAGGGTCACACAGCTTCTAAGCCTCAGATCCCAATTCCAACCCTGGTCTTCCAACTCTAAAGCTGGTGCTCCTACCCATTCAGGATACTGCCTCCCAGAAAGAATTCAAACATGCCCCATCCCAGTCCCTTGTGTTTGTTTCCAAGAGGGTCTGAGCACAAGACGGGAGACAGAAGCTTGGGCCTGAATCAAGGAGGGGTGCAAAGGGGACATTAACTTCACCGCTGATCTCAGCATTGCTCTGGGCTGCTCTCCCCCCTGCCAGTTCGCCCAGTATGCTGAGATCGTCAACTTCACCCTCTCCGATGGGACTCAGAGGAGCGGGCAAGTACTTGAGGTGTCTGGGACCAAGGCAATTGTTCAGGTAAGTGGCGTCAATGAGATGCTGGCTGGTTGAATAAATGAATAAACCCACCAAGTTCCCACATTATCGTATAACCACCCGAGACAGGAAATGTCCTCTTTCCCTGAGAGCACCTTGCCCAGAGCTGGGCATAAATGGAAGAATGGAGGCCTCATTCTCTCCAGCAAGCCCCTTGTTAGAGTTACTAACCTCTTGTCCCATAGGTGTTTGAAGGGACCTCAGGGATTGATGCTCAGAAGACCACCTGCGAATTCACAGGGGACATCCTTCGGTCTTCGGTGTCAGAGGACATGCTGGGTGAGGGATGGGGTGGGACAAGAGAGGGTGGACCCCTCTGCCCTGCCAAACATTCAGCACACTGCATTGTCACTGCCTGTTTACACTCTGTTTCACCTGTGAGCTCTTTGAGGTCAGGGGTGATATCTTCTGTCTTTGACCCTCACCCCTGGCTCAGGGCCTGACACACAGCAGCTGTTTAAGAACTGAGGAAGGCAGCTTCAGTAAACTAGGGGCACAGCAGGTAGCCATCTATCTGGGGTGGGCCTAAAATGGATAGCATGTCCCCTAATTTTCTCCCACAATCTGCTCTTCTGGCCCTCTCCACCTTCCAGCCCCAAATTCCCCCATTAGTGTAGTTGTTCTGGGTCACAGCCCTGCTTATACAGGTTTCCAGGAAAGAAGGGAAAACTCCAAAGGAGACAGTCACTGTAGGCAGCTCCCTGGGGGTAACTGAGGGTTGAGGGGAAGGGGACACAGGGCATTTGGGATCTAGGGGGCATGTGGGAGCTGGTGGTGATGTGGTGGGGGGTGGCAGCAGTGAGAGACCCAGGGCTGGGCCTGAGGTTTCTCCAGCACCCCCTGCTCATCCCCAGGTCGGGTTTTCAATGGTTCTGGCAAACCCATTGACAAGGGACCAAAGGTCATGGCAGAGGACTTCCTGGATATCAATGGTGAGTGACTAGAGGCCCTGAAGGCTCCCGTAATCCAGCCCTCAATCACCTTTCCCACCCCATCATCACCTCTGCCACCAACACAGACCCCGGCAGCAGGCCAGAGCTCCCCATCAGGGCTGATCAGACTGACAGCCAACCACATGGGACATGAGAGCAGCAAAGGCCTCTCTGTCCCCAGAGAGCCACAGAGCCTGAAGTACCGCCATCAGCACTCCATGCCTAGTTCCAGTAAAATGTCGTCATCATCCAGTAAAATGTGCAGGGTTCTGCACGTGCCCCAAGACCATCACTCTCCTGCCTTCCAGGTCCCCATCCCCACCCCGAGAGTTGGCTCAGGTGGCTTGCACAAGCAGACACAGCCCTGCCAGGCTCCCACCCACTCTGAGGGAGGCTGTCCAGAGTGCCCCAGCCCTATCACATCAGTTTACTGAGGATGCGATGCAGGCCCATGGAGGTCCTTGGCGGGCTCAAAGCCACACAGCAAGTTGGAGGCAGAGCATGAAACACATGCCCACTCACGCAGGAGGTCTCTGGGCCACCCTCAGGTCGTCCTGACTCTGTACAGCACCTGTAAATCTAGAGGAGGGCCCCGGCTCTGATTGTAGGAGCCTCAGCCTGGGTTCCCACCCGCCTTCCAGTGCTCCAAGGTAGCACTGTCCAAGGGGGCACTGGACATGTGGCTGCTTAAATACAAATGCATTCAAGTGGAATAAAATGTCACTTCAAAACCACATTTCACGTGCTCAATAACCACATGTGTCTCGGGCTACCACATTAGGCGGTGCCCGTAGAGCCCATTTCCATCAGGGCAGAGAATTCCATTAACAGCGCTGCCCTGGAGTCCAAGGTCAGGGCAGGAAGGGCAGGGAAGGACTTGAACTGCCCTCCCTTGAGTATAGGTTTATGATTTCTGTCTTCAGGCCAGCCCATCAACCCCTACAACCGCATCTACCCTGAGGAGATGATCCAGACCGGCATCTCTCCCATCGATGTCATGAACAGCATTGCCCGAGGGCAGAAGATTCCCATCTTCTCCGCGGCCGGACTCCCCCACAATGAGGTGAGGCCCATGGGAGCCTGCAGGCACAACCAAGGGCAAGGGACAGAGCAGAGGCTGGGGCTGGCAGGTGAGCGAGGAGGGCTTCCTATGCTGAGTAGGCAGGGGTCGGCCGAGCTGGGGTCATCAGCATCAAGACTGGCAGTTGTCCTCTGGCAACTCAGGGATACAGGGTTCCACAGGACCTCCTCACTGTCCCTAGGCAGGTCCTCAAGCCTCTGGCTGAGTGAGTGGGGCACTTACTGACTCACAAGAGAACCCATGGGTAACCCCAGTGTTGACGGTCCTGCTCAGCTTTACTCCCTGCACTGAGTGAACCCTCTCATGCCGGCCCCGTGGCCATATGAGGCCTCCCTATCCCTGCCACCAAGTACACGGAGCCCTGTTCCTCTCAGAGCTGCGCAGTGGACAAGGTTTCTAGACGCTCCTCCCCCAGCCGCTCCCAGATGTGCCCCAGCTCACCCTGAAAGTGGTCTCAGTGATCAGAGGGCAGAAGCAGCCGGTCCTCCATCCCACACACGCACATCCTGACCCACGTTGCTGCAGGCTACGCCCACCGCAGGCCTGGGGCAGCTCTGAGCCCAGAGAGACCCAGCAGGCTGCGGGGAGGCACAGTTTCTGAAGGCCAAGCCGCCCCAAACCTGTGCCGCGGAGGCCCTTGCTCATTCCACCTGCTCCCCCTGACCGGCACCCTCAGCCTTTGAGTAGCTGCAGATCAGGGCAGCCTCTCCGTGAGAAGAGCTGTAGGACCTGGGGTTGCCCTTTCACCTTTGTGGGTCCCTCCCACTGAAGGCCCCAGCAGGGAAAACTGATGAGAAATGGCCCCGCCCATCCTCTTCCATGGCACTCTGTGGGGAGGGCTCTGACATCCTTCCTCCTAACCCTGTCCACCCCAGATTGCTGCCCAGATCTGCCGCCAGGCTGGGCTAGTGAAGAAGTCCAAGGCCGTGCTGGATTATCACGATGACAACTTTGCCATTGTCTTTGCAGCCATGGGGGTAAGAGGCACTGGCCAGGTTGGCAAGTTCTGGACACTGTGGGTGGGCAGCCTCGTCTCCCTTGGCCCCTGGCATGGCCTCATCTGGTGGGGGAGGCACAGTCCTTCCCCTTGAGAAGCTGTCAGAGTCTCGGCCTGACTGGCGGGAGAGGCAAGAACATGACTGATTGAAGGGGTGCGGTGGGCCCAGTGACCAGGGCAGCGTGTCCCTCAAGGCACCCCAAAGGCCACGGCAGCTTTAAGGTGAGCCCAGAGTGGCCTGAAGGCTGGGAAACTAGGGAAGTGAGGAGATAAGACAGCTTTGGGAGGCAAACACAAAGGCCCAAGGATAGGGGAGAAGACTCATGGGAAGTAGCTGGCCAAGGAAGGCACAGGAGGGCACTGAGCAGAGCTCAGCCTGGAGAAGCCTGAATCTCTCTTCGATGGTCTGATGAGACCCTGCCCAGGACCAGACAACAAGCCAGCCTTGCCCTCTCATGCCCCAGGGTCACCCCAATGTCTGTGGCACCTTCATCCCCAGTGACAGTTAGACAGTCAGTCTATAGGCTTTGCTGAGAAGAGATGGGAAGAGCCTGGACCCCTGCCCTCAGGCCTCAGGCCCCGCCTCCAGCCCTACCTGTTGTGTGTCCAGGTGAACATGGAGACAGCCAGGTTCTTCAAGTCTGACTTTGAGCAGAATGGTACCATGGGGAACGTCTGCCTCTTCCTGAACTTGGCCAATGACCCCACGTGAGTCCTCTCCCGGTGCCCATACTGCCCTCAGGCAGCAGGTCTCATGCCCTTTCCAGACCCAGAGTGCTTTCCAGGGATTTTCCAGAGCTGCAGCCAAGGGCCAGGGCGGGGGAATTTGAGGCTGATAAGGGGTAGGAGCAGCCCACAAAGAGAGGGAGCTGGACCGCCAGCCTGCCTGCCACCTGCAGTCACTGCTCTTCCCACAACCTGCGTCCAACCACTGTCCCAAGTCAGGGCTCCTCATCTTTAGTCACTTCCACAAAGTCACCACTAAACAGATATTTCCCGAAACCATTTGTTTAGAAAAATGGCTACTTTAAAAGTTTAGAAAATGTGAACTTAAGTCTGGGGGTTCAGTGGCTAGGAAAAAACAATTTTAATAAACTATCCTGGGTATTGTGAGTATCCAAAAACTAAGCAACAGAATTCTGGAGGCTGTGACAACATCACTGAAGGAGAGACCCAGGGGTGCAGAGCCCGGAGATTCAGGAACGCTCAAAGCAGGAAGGGGGCGGCCGGGACAGACCTGACCGACTTCCTGCACACTAAGCATGCGCGGGAACAGTGAGAGGACCAGAGAGGAAAGAGTTCTGAGGATGACCCCGAGTGAGTGAGGGTGCTCCAGCTGGCCCAAGGCAGATGCCCAGGGGAAGAGGGAGCTAAAGCAGAAGCCCTGACCTGCCTCCCTCTGGCATGCCAGCATCCCTCAGCTTCAGGCCACAGAAACAGGGCACAGTCGCCCTCATGAGACACTCCTAGTCCTGCCTGTGCCCCTCTCACACAACTTCTTGCCCTGCCCCAGTCTCTGTTCCTTTCTGCCCTTGAACCACAGGAGGAGAGTAGGGCGCTGGCTGAGTTACCCATTCCCAGGAACCACAGCCCTGACCTGGGGGCTGGGGGCTGGGGCTCATCGTGTCCACTCCCCTGCTGCTATGAGCAGTCCCAGCTTCCCAGGTCACTTTCCACTCAGTGCTGGAGGCAACAGAGCACAGGCTCCCTAACCCTTGACCGTGTCTCCAGGATCGAGAGGATCATCACCCCTCGCCTGGCGCTGACCACTGCTGAGTTCCTCGCCTACCAGTGTGAGAAGCACGTGCTGGTCATACTGACCGACATGAGTTCCTATGCAGAGGCCTTGAGGGAGGTGAGCTGGCTGCTGAGGGGAGCCAGGTTCATCCCAGCTCCTGCACCCCAGAGCTCACCCACCCAGGCCTGCCCCCACTCCATTTCTCATAGTCCCTGAGCCCTCCATTCCTCGTCTCAGCCTCTCATCCCCCTCTTATCCCAATGCCCATGGAACTTGCAGGTCTCAGCTGCCAGAGAGGAGGTACCTGGGCGCCGAGGCTTCCCTGGATACATGTACACAGACCTGGCCACCATCTACGAGCGGGCGGGCCGTGTGATGGGCCGTGGAGGGTCCATTACTCAGATCCCCATCCTCACTATGCCCAATGATGGTGAGCCTCCTCACTGTCACTGCTCTCTGCAGCCCCCTTGCCTGCCCTTCCCACCTGCACACGCATATAGATGTGCAGTAGCTCTGTTCCTCCATCAGGGTAGACACTGTCCTTTCCTTGCCCCTATCCACTCCTATCACTCCCATGATGGCAAAAGAACCCAGATGGCCCCAAGTGGGTGGAAACCTGGACCCCATCTATACTGAGGCCAGCGAATCTCCTTGTAGATATCACTCACCCGATCCCAGACCTGACGGGCTTCATCACAGAGGGACAGATCTATGTGGACAGACAGCTTCATAACAGACAGGTACTGTCCCCTCCCACCCACTTTCTGCTCTCTCCACCACTCCTGTGCTTCATCTCTCCATGAATCCAGAATGGCCAGGCAAGGCTCGCCCCAAATAGGAGATAACACCCCAGGGAGACTCTGGTTCACAGACAGAAGACAGGTCTGGGTAGAATCCAGCCCACCTGGCTGTAGGAATTTGAGAAAATTAGCCCATCTCTCAGATTCTAGTTTTTCTCTTTCCTAAAATGGGAAAAATAATACTTTATCATTCAGTTGCATTTTGGAGGATAAAATAAGTTGGCATACAGAAAACATCTAGAAGATAGTAGATACTAAAGAAATACTATCTCTTCCCTTTCCAGTAACTTGCTCTGGTGAACTGAAAACAATGGGTAACTGACCCAAGTAGATGGTGAATGATGTGCCAGTGGGTTGGAAAAAAGTGTCTGTCCCATCTGAGGTTAAATGTAACCCTTAGGACCTTTTCCTCTTTGCTTGGCAAGTTCTTTCTTTGTAGCTATTAACTTGAGCTTCAACCTGGTTTTGTCCAAACAATCACAAGTTTTGAAATAGTGAGCCTTTCATTGACTGCTGTCATGTCATCTTCCCTTACATGTGTAGACACCTACACATTGAAGCCCTAGAATGTCTGAGAGATAAAGAGAGCGGTAGTGAACTGTTCCTCCACAGGATGAATGAGGACTAGTCCCCTGGCACCCCGGGGTGGGGAGGGAAGACAAGCAGGGTGGGAAGGGAATGAAAGTTGGGACCATGCCTTCTGCCACACCTTCTGCCCCCACAGATCTACCCTCCCATCAATGTGCTCCCTTCCCTGTCTCGATTGATGAAGTCTGCCATTGGTGAGGGCATGACAAGAAAGGACCATGGAGATGTTTCTAACCAGCTGGTAAGAAGGAGCGGACCCAGGGGCTAGTGAGAATGCTGGTTTTAGGTGCTGAAAGCCTGAGACCTATCTAGACCATGAGTTTTTCTTCTGGTAACCCTTCCCCCAAAAGTGCCCCCCCCATCACAGCCATATTGGGAGCCCTGGAGCCCAGGTGATAAGCCTGAGGTGACCGCCTACGCATTCTGCCCCCTCCCCCAGTATGCCTGCTACGCCATCGGGAAAGACGTGCAGGCCATGAAAGCAGTGGTGGGGGAAGAGGCGCTCACTTCGGAGGACCTGCTGTACCTGGAATTCCTGCAGAAGTTCGAGAAGAATTTCATCAACCAGGGTGAGGCGCGCAGCGGGGTGGTCCGTCAGTAACCCTCTGACCTACATACACACAAACCTGACACTCGTGCTCTGTCCCTAGGCCCATATGAGAACCGCTCAGTGTTCGAGTCTCTGGACCTGGGCTGGAAGCTGTTACGCATCTTCCCCAAGGAGATGCTGAAGCGCATCCCGCAGAGTGTGATTGATGAGTTCTACTCCCGCGAGGGGGCGCCCCAGGACACCACGACTGTCACTGCATTTTAGACCCATCTGCAACTGGATCCTGAGTGTGGTTCTGGGACCCCTGCCTTCCGCATCGTGTCCTCTCACCCCTCCCCATCCTCCATGCTTCCATTCACCTGCCAGCCGCTTCTGTGCCACCCTCAGCACCCACCAGCTATAGGGGGCCTCATGTATGCTCCATCCCTCTCCCTGGCTTTCTGGCACAGGGAAAGAACAGATTGTCAAACCTGTATTCTTTTTCTTGTTCTGATAGGAGCATTTGTATTTTTACTTTAAAAGCTCCACACCTCCCCCCCAAGATAAGAAGTAATTGAAATGAAGAGTTTATCTTATGTGAATACAAGATTGGCAAAACACTGGTCATTGTTAAAGCTGGGGATGATGGGTACACAGAGTTGGTTAAACTGTTCTCTCCAGCCACAGGAGTGTCTTAACAGCTGACAACAGAATTTCCCTTTAGGAGATATTTATCATCGTTAAGAAATACCTTGATACATTTCTTGGGTGGATGATGAGCTCAGGGGCCATGTAAAGGGTGATCTAGGCCACAAAAACTTGTCTGACTCTAACCAGCTCTGTCTGAGAGATGCTGAAGAGCAATTTGGTGTGTTGCATACAAGAAGGGAGGGGGGTTGCTGGAGAGAGAACCTGAGGGACGTGGGAGTAGGGTGAAAGGCTAAGGAGAAGCCCCCAATTAAAAATGGGTGAAGAGCATCCCAAAACAAACCCAGGATGCTAGATGCTGCTTTGAAAGCTGCCTGCTCTTCTGTAACATCATTCCTCTGGTCTCTTCTGCCCCACCTATAATGAGGTCATGAATGCTTCCTAAGAGGCAGGGCAAGTTGAAGGATGGAACTTTAGCGAAGGGCTGAGTTCCATTTCTGGATCAATGTGATATGGAACCAGCCAGAATTCTTGGATCAAGAATTGACACCAAAGAAGGACCTGAGAATTAAAGTCCCGTCCCTGTGACAATTCACAGCCATTTGGGGAAACCTTGTGGGTGTCCACATGTCATAGGGTTGTTTTTATTTCCTAACAGATTTATTGAGATATAATTTACATACCCTGTGATTTACCTGTTTATAATCGTACCATTCAACAGCTTCTTGTACAGTATATTCAGAGTTGTGCAGCCATCACCACAATCAATTTTAGAACACTTTTAGTGCCTCAAAAAGAAACCCTGCATTGCTCGCCATCACCCCTGAAGGCACTCTCCTGCCCCTACCGCAGCCCTAGGCTTGGCCTACCCTGACCGTTTCATATACATGGGGTCGTACAGCAGGTGGTCTTCTGTGACTGGCTCCTTCATTTACCGTAATATTTTCAAGGCTCATCCGTGTTGCAGCATGTATCAGTACTTCATTCCTGTTTATTGCCAAATAATATTCCACAGCATGGGTACCCCACATTTTGTTTATCTGTTTATCAGTTTTACAGACACCCAGTTGCTTCCACCTTTAGCTATCATGAATAATGCTGTTATGAACACTCAAGTGCATGTTTCTGTGTGGACGTGTTTTCCCTTCTCTTGGGTAAATCAATACCAAGTAGTGAAGGGACCGGGTGTCAGATGGTGACTTCACGTGTAACACTCTGAGGGACTGCCAGACTGCAAAGCCACTTCCACAGCCGCTGCACCATGTCACATTCCCACCAGTAGTGTGCGGAGGTTCCCATTTCTCCACAGCCTTGGCATCACCTACTCTCTGTGCCCTTATCATCGCCATCCTAGTGAGTGTGAAATAATATCTCGCTGTGATTTTTATCTTAATTTCCCTTATGGTTAATGTTGGGCTTCTTGTCATGTGTCTATTGGCCATTTGTATACCTCCTTTGGAGAAACGTCTATTCAGGTTCTTTGCCCATTTTTTTTTAAGATTTTATTTATTTATTTTTAGAGAGGGAAGGGAGGGAGATAGAGAGAGAGAGAAACATCAATGTGTGGTTGCTGGGGGCCAGGCATGTGCCCTGACTGGGAATCAAACCTGCGACACTTTGGTTCGCAGCCTGAGCTCAATCCACTGAGCTACACCAGCCAGGGCACTTTGCCCATTTTTAATTGAGAAGGGGTGAGAATAGAAATTGTTCGGCAGCAACACTAATTCAAGCAACACTGATTGTTTGACTACTGTATATTGTAAAAAGTTAAAAGGTAAACTGAGGAAATATTGACCACAAAAATATATAAATGATTACTATGTTAATAAGTTTTATGAATCAATAAGAGACATATTAAGACCCTCAAATAACAATGTGAATAAACAAACAATTCCCAGAAGAGAAAAACACTGATAACCAAATGTTTAAGCCTTGCTGGGAAGCAAAGAGTCAAATTAGAGCACCACTACCACTCCCAAAGTAGCAAGCACTTACTTAAAATCATAGCACCTAGTACTAGTGATGGTCGGCAGTTCCTTCTAAGAAGAGCAAATTACTCAGCTAGCCTCCTCCCATTGCTTGCGTTCCTTCCCTCCTTGTGAGGCAGGTACGATTATCCCCGTTTTGCTGACCCACAAACTGAGTCTCAGAAGCCACTAACTTGTCCACCATAACTTGCCATACTGTGGAGGCCGAGCGCTGCTTCGCTGCAAGTGGGTGTGTAAGTGAATACGCAACCTCGTTGGAGGGCAGTTGGGAAACAGATCAACATATAAAAAATGTTCATTCCCCTTCACTTAGTAATTCTACTTTTGAGAATCCGTGCTAAGGAAACAACTACAGAGGTGCCATTTTGCGTTCTGCAGCGCGTGTGAAATGACAGCACAGCTGTTCTGATGTGGGGCTAGGGTCGCGTCACAACGTGCCTTTGTGATGCGTAATGTCGACGGAAGTTAGCTCATAATATAACGCAAAGTGAAAAGAGGTACCAACTGTCTGTACGATATGCAACATATAGACTGATTTCTTGGCTGGCGGGATTGTGGTTTTGCTTTCCTCACCCTTTTCTGGTTTTCTACAATCAAAACTTACTAATTTTATAATCAGGAAGAAAAAAAAGCTACAGTCTTCCAGTCTGCTGTGTGCGTTTGATGCTGAGTTTGCAGGAGTATGGGCCCGGGGAAGCTGGGCTGGCAGGGCTGGCAGAAGCCAGGTCTCTCATAGGCGCCCAGGCTCGGTTGCCGGACTGGCTCCGGGCGGCCTGGGAGGCGCTAGCCTCGCCCCCACCCCGCCCCCAACGCGAGTCGTTGCTGGCGGGCCAGACCTTGGGGGCACAGCGATGCCTCTCAGTAAGCTCACAGCCTCCGCCATCAACACGTGCCTCTATGAAGCCGGCTCAGAGAGTCTCCTTGCAGCTCACCTGGAGAAACTCTCAGTCCAAACAACCCAGGTGAGCCAGGGAATAGGTGGCCCCGCTGCAGCGTGGGAACCTGCCCAGCGCCTCCCTGGAAGAGCAGGGCCTGGAGGGGTGGGTGAGGACAGTTGAGGAACCAGGAGAGCTGGGTAGGGGCCCCTGCTGACCTCCCAAAAGGGGCTTGGGGCCCTCGGGGATGGTGCGCAAGGACGGCCGCTTCCTCCTCGCCCCGCCGCCGATCAGCGCTGGCCCAGCCTGTGTAAATGCCTCCTGCTTAAGTGATGGCCTTGCCCACGCGGGACCGGGATCTGCCATTGCTTCCTCCAATCACCCTCCTTTCCTCCCCCACCCCCGCGCTGCCGCTAGCCTGGTCGGTGAGTGGGACCAGAGGGATGTGGGGAACTATTCCGAGTTGTTCGCAGCTGCCTTGGGCAACCTGGAATGGTTGCGGTTCTGCCTGAATCAGGACGGTGGGGAAATCCCCACAGATAACAAGGTAAGGCCTTGGAGCGCAGGTCCAAGGACCGAGGCCCTCCCCTCCCACCCACCAAGAGTTCCTCACATTAGTGTTCACCTAACAAAGAGCATCCAGAGGTGTCCTTGTCTGAGCACATCGTCCTAATTCACCTCCCCTCCGTGGGGCGGGGGGGCATTTGGGGGTATCAAGGAAGAGTGAGCACATACAGGAGTGGGAAAGGGATATGAGTGACTCCTGGGGGGATCTAAGGGAAGAGGAACCCCAAGGAACTGCTACCTATGGCAGGTTTTGGACCTGGGGCCTTGATCCTGCTCAGCGTCCTCCTGCCCTCCTCTGGCCCCCACAGGGGTTCACTGCCATCCACTTTGCAGCCCAAAGCGGCAAGCTTGAATGCCTGCAGGTCTTGATAGAGGAGTACAAGTTTCCTGTGGACCTGCCCACCAACAATGGCCAGACACCACTGCACCTTGTCATCCGCAAGGAAAACAAGACCATGGTCCTCCCCTGCATCTACTATCTGCTTAAGCATGGGGCGGCCCTCAACACGTGAGTCCTGCCTGCCCCAGGAGAGTGGCTTGGAGGCTGGGCAGATAGGAGCCCACTTCCAGGATAGGCTGAGGGACTGTGGGGTAACAAGAACTGGGTCCCATATGAAGCAGTCTGAGAGCCCACATGGTGCACTAGTTAAGAAATTGGGCCCTGGGAGAACTGCCACATGGTGTACTAGTTAATAAATGGGATCTAGTTCATGTCCCAGCTTTGCCATCTGTTAGCACAGGTCGAGACCTCAGGCAAGTCACTCATTTGGAAGCCTCCAGCTCTTCAGTATGTTTTGAATCACTTGGGGAGCTTCAAAAAGCCTGATGCAGAGGTTGTAATTAACTAGTCTGGGGTGTGGCCTGGGCTTTGGAAATCTCAAAAGGTCTGCACTCATTTCTGATTTGCAGCAAAGTTTGAGAACTACTTAACTGCTTCAGTGTTTTCAACTGAAATGTGGGAGGACGTCAGTGCCTACCGCACGGACTATTGTGACAATTGAGAAAATGCGTGGGGAGGGCGTGGATGGCACGTAGGGGGCTGCGTTCACTCCGTTTACCCAGCATGTACTATGTGCTAGGCATTATGCCAGAGGTGAGGGACACAGCAGTGAACACACAGAAATGGTCCCTGCCCATGAAGCTGACCCCCTAGTTCAGGAGCAGATGGTAAATTAGCACAGTACATGAATACAATGACAGAGTATGGTAAACAGTTAAGAAGGGAATAAACAGGGTGGCGGGGTGGGACATGGAAAGGATCTATTTTGGAGGGGGCAGTCGCCTCTCAGGTGGTAACATTTAAAATACAACTTGAAGATGGTTAGCCCGCCATGCAAAGACCAGAAGAAAGGGTCCCAGGCACAGGGAACACCATGTGCAAAGGAAACACTGTGTTGGGAAAGAGCGGGGCGAGGTCAGAGCATGAGGTGGAGAGGAGGCAGGAACCCGGGCACACAGGCTTGTGGGGCGGGATCAGGCACGGGGGAGGGGCAGGGGGACTGGCTGTTGGATGAGGATGAGGTTAGTGGTCTCTGAGTTCCGGCCAACCAGCTCTTCTTCCAGCAGCTCTTCACTGCCCCACACCCCATCACCAGATGGGGACTGCTCATATAGTCCTGACCTCCCTCCTACAGTTGAGGAAACGGAGGGACAGAGAAGGGGTATGCCGGGGTCACTCTGGGGCTGGTGGCAGAGCAGGCCTGGAAGCTGGTGCCCACCTACCTGATAAGTAAATGCCCTTCATCCTTCCTTACCACCTCTTCCCCTGGAGGACCTTCGCAGTCAGACATGCAACGGCTCCACACCCCTGCACCTGGCAGCCCGGGAGGGCCTGCTGAGCTGTGTGAAGGTCCTGGTGACGAAGGGCGCCAATGTCCATGCCCAAGATGCCATGGGCTGCAAACCCATCGACTACTGCAAAATACGGAACCACCGTGTCTGCGCTCGGTGAGAGTGTGAGAACCACCTCCAGCCTGCCACCCCTTCCCTCTCCCAGCCCTGCCCCTAGGGCCCTCTCCCAAAGCAGAGCCCTTCAGAGGAGGGTCTGGAAAACCACTGCCTAGCTGCTACGTCTACGGAGTTGGCCCATTCCCAGGATACTATTCCCGGGGGCTTTCCACAGGTCTCACACCTCTGGGTTTAGCACTGCCCTCCTGCCCCCAGCTCCTCATCAGGAGGGCAGTGACCAGACTACCAGACACTCTCCTCCCTCACCTCACCGGGAGTAGTTAGCCAGAGGGGCTTTGGGGAGCTGGGGGTGGGCCACCTCACTCATCTCATCTCTGGTAGCCCCTCAGCAGCAGCCAGTCTTCCCAGGTGGAAGCCCAGTGCCTGGGGGATGACACACCCTCACCTTGGCACCAGGTTCTTGAAGGATGCCATGTGGAAACGGGACAAGAAGGACTTTGCCTGTGAAATGGGGAAACTGAAGAAGCTCAAAGGCCAGCTGGCCCTCATGGAACAGGACTACCTGAGTGAGCATCAAGTAAGGGGCAGGGCTGCCGGGGCATGGGCATCAGCAGCTCATCCAGGCACGTGAGTGGACTGACACGTGTGGTCAGAGAGTGGCTAGAAGCGGTCCCATCCAGAAAGAGCCTCCCTCTTTCCCTCCTCTGGCTAAAAGTCTAACCCTAGAAGCCACTCCTTTAAGTCAAAAGTCTTGTGTTAGAAAGCAAGTGCAGCTTAAATTAGCAAGTCCCTCCCAGCGCAGTGCCTCCTTCTGGTGAGGAGGAGCATCTCCACTGAGACCCAGGTCCTGCTTTGTTGGGAAGCACACTGGTTAGGGCCATCCTGCCAGCAGACAATGAGCACATGCTCTCTGCTAGGCACCTGCTAGACCCTGAGGTTCCAAAGACCAATGAGAGGTGGTCCTCTCACTCAAGGAGCTTTGAGTTTAGTAGGGGAGGTAGGTTATATCCCTGTGTCATCCCCTGGGCCCCCAGAGAGAAGGGGGTCCAGGGGGTGACAGAGGGATAATGCTGATGAGGAGTCTTTAAAGATGAGCAGCAGTTGGCCATATGAAGAAGTAGGGGAGGGCTGACCAGCCCAAGTGAGCAGGCAGCCCCATGCTGAGGCCCAGGGGAATGGGGAAGTGGGGTGTAGGCCCAGAAGTACCAAGTCAGTGCAGCCAGGGGGTCCAATGTGAGCTCGAGTTTGACAAGCTAAGAGACTTGGCAGGGGGCCAGATCAATGACAGACCTTGGCTGGGGAAGAAGGGAGTCATTAGAGGATTTTAAGCAGGTACAATTACATAGGATGCGAGAACCAGAAAACCCAGAAAGATGCTGGGAACCCTAAGGGGGTCCAGCAGTGGGGGCAGCTTTGGGACTGGCAGATCTAGGACTCCAGCTCTGTCCCAGCTGCGCCTCTCCCCAGTTTCCTAGCCCTGGGAGTATCATTTGTCAGTGCCACCCAGCCCCCAGTTACGCACAGGGTGGGCCACGAGTAGGCTTAGAGTTGTCTGTGTGGGGGATAATACAATAATACTATAAGAATAAATGGTTTTGCACACGTATAACTGTAAGTCTGCCTTTGCCCCACCCTGTATTTGTCCAGAGGAGGCAAAGCCCATCTGTTCCTGTAGCTCGAAACTTTCCCAGAAGCCCCTTGCAGACCTACCCTCATCTCTTATTGGCCTCAGGTCATGGGTCCACTCTTGTTCCAATTCCTAGAGGTAAAGGAAAGCCATGTGCTGATTGACCTAGGTCTGGGGCAAGGCTGATGGGATTATTATGAGAGGCTTAGCCTAATCAGAGCCTACCACCAGAGCTGGGTCAATCTCCAAACCACCTGATGGCTTAGCAACAGCCCGGGAGGTGAGACACTGAGACGGGTGTAAGGAGGGGACAGTTCGTGACATGTTGAAGGTCCAACTGTACAGAGGCAAGAACAGATGGCTAGACCAAGTTATCATCACTCAGCCTGGAGAGCTAGCCCCTGTCTCTCCCTACGGAACTGCTCCAAGAAGCCTGCCCAGATTAGCTCCACCCTGCTCCAGGCCTCCCAAGCCTTTCTGCTTCTCCTTCCAGGGTCACGGATGTAGACCCCGTCTCTTGGGGCAGAACATGTCTCCACTATCAATGGGTTCCCCGCTTAAGACTCAAGTTTCTGTGTAGGGCAGGGATTGCGTCTGCCTCCTCAAGTTGAAGACTTCACCCAGAGTGGAGGCTGGGTATCCATAAAATTGGAGGTCCCCTATGGGAGAGGCTCTGTCTGCCCCAACAGCTCAGGGGCTCCCTCTGGGTAATAGTTGTCTCCCCACCAGACAAGGGCTCTTACAGGGCAAGGAATTCTCCCATCAGAGTCAGGATCCCTGGGGTGGGACAGTACCTGATCAGTCACACCTGAGATGTACAAGGGCTACAGCCACAGGGTCTCTGTGCAGAAGTACAGAGGCAACAGCCTTGCTCACCTGTGTTGTGCCCTCTGATGTTGCAGAAAGAACACCAAATTCTGAGAGAAGCTGATTTCAAGAAGTGGCTCCACCGCAAGCTACTGCCCCGAGACCAATCTCTGGTCCACAACACTGAGCAAGAGCCACAGGCCCCACGCTGGACCATCCCCCTCTCCAAGACCCCCAAACCTCCCAAGAGATTCCACCCCTCCTTGGAGATGCGCCTGCAACAGATTCCACAGCCCGAGCCACAGAATTCGGTGACGCCCACACCCGTCTACAAGAAGCCCATAGTCAGGCGGCCCAAGCTGTGGGATATTAGCAACAACCCTGTCACATCCCCCACAACCCAGATCAGCTTCCCTCAGGGCATCCGCCTGGGTGTGCACCCAGACCCCAGCCCGGAGCACGACTTCCGCAGGTTCCTCGAGGTCAGGTCTGACGGGCACGGTGGTGCGCGGTTGTGCACGGTGGCTGGCAAGCAGGTGGCACCTGTGCCTCGGCTGCCTTTGGAGGTGATAGTCCGAGAGCTGTACCCTCAAGTGCAGCCGTGCAGGATGAAGGTGCCCCAGGGCTTCCACCCCGTCAGCATGAGGGATGTGACCCGGAAGCGGTACTTGGGTGACAGCACCTTCTGGACCGACACACTGGCCATGAACCTGCGTGAGACATTTGACGAAGCCTTCCTGGCAGCAGTGCGAGCTCATGAGGGGCTCCCCATTGTGCCCTCCCCCGAACCCCTCTCATAAACTCGTATTGGTAGCCTCTCCTTGACCTGAGGCAGGCCAGTGCAGACTGAGGTGTGGCCATTCATGTTGCAGACAGGGAACAAGGGGAAGAGCGCCCATAAGCTTCCTATTTCCAAATTCCAAGACCAGAGCCCCTGCCCACCAACAAAAGCCCAGATCCCAGGTCCCTCTTCTCTCCATAAAGAAATCTTTGGGACACCGTCCCCGAGAGGTTCAAATTAGGACGGGAGCCCAAAGCTCAGAGTAGAGGGGTCAGTCTCTATCCCAGGCCCTAGCATTGTGAAAGTAACACTTGGGAAAGTAACCCTTTGCTCCCATTGCCCATAAATGGCCCACCAAGGACAGGCTTTCAGGATGAGGAACCACTGGGAAATCCTGCCTCTTGTTCAGACTAAGCCCTACTGCAGGCCCTAAGCCTCATGCTTCACCTCCAGATCCAGAATGGGGTGGAGGCAACTAATGTATCGCCCTTCCATGGGCTTCCCCGCCTCTGGGGAATGCTGCCATGCTTCCTGCAGGTCAGGAAGGCACAGGTGGCACTGCTGGGGGCAGGTAGGGAGGACCTATGGCTTCAACTGGAGACCGTGATAGCATGTGGACTTCCCCCAGGAAGCTAGCCCACGTCCCCTGCTATCTGCTGTACAAATCACTACACATCATTCATTAAACAAACCTTTATTAAATGCTTTTTAAGTGCCAGACACCAAGCCAGGCACTGTTGGTACAAAAATTGAGGGACAGTCCCTGCCCTCAAGGAGCTTACAGGCTGGTGAGGAGACAGACCAACACACAGGCAAGCACACCCAGAGTGATCTGTGTGGTAGGCTGGAGTAGGGACGGGGAGGGGACCATCAGAGCTCCTTGGACAAAGTGAAGTCTTAACAATGAATGCAGAAGATGCCCAGGTGAACAGAAGAAAGAGGAATCAGAGTGGCATCTCTGGATATAGGAGGCTGGGACTCAGTGCAAGGTGGCAAGCGATGAGGACAAGAGAAGCAGGCAGGAAGAGGAAGCAGGATACCAGGAGTCTCAAAACCATGCTAAGGGGTCTGGATTTTGTCCTGAAGGTAGTGGGGAGCCATGGAAGGTTGTAGGCCAGGAAGTGGCTTGATCAACTATGCATTTTAGAAAGACAGCTCTGGCTGCAGGACAGAGAAGCAGGAGGCTATCACAATAACCCGGTGAAAGCTGATGGCAGTGGGAGTGGCTCTGAGATGTTAAGAAGGCAAACCTGACAGTTCCTAGAAGTTGGATGGGGGAGGGGTGGCAAAAGGAGAATAGATTTCTGGTCTGGCTCCTGAGTGGTCTTGGAACCACAGCAGGTACCCAAAAGACGCAGGTTAGGAGAGGACAGCAAGTGCCGTCTGGGCCATGCAAGCTGTCTGTGCAGCCAAAGGCAGCAAACCGTGATTCACAAGCCCAGGAGGGATGTTGGGGCTGGAGGTCAGCTCTCATTTCCTTGGCAAAGAGTCAAAGCCATCAGCGTGGATGGGCTCCTCTTGGGAGCCCACAACAGGACCCTGAGAAACCCCACTGTGCATGGGGCAAGTGGAGAAGCCACAGAGGTAGGAAGAGAACAAGCCGCAGAAGTGCGATTCAAGAAGCTGGGGGTAACCAGCTCTGGCAGATGCTGTGGAGACCCAGTAAGATATGGAAAGGGCTCAGTGTATTTAGCACAAAAAGGCCACTGGCACCCCCAGGAGAGCATGGGCAGTGGAGGGGATGCAGGGGGCAAAGCCACGTCTGATGAGGGACAAAGACATCAACAGCAACTGGCAGCAAGACCAGCTGCTGGCCCATAAGTGAGGATGATGTTGGCCCCCAGTGCCCTCTACCTTGTCCCCCACTTGTCTGCATAGGATAAAAGGGCCTGGCAATCTCACTCCCACTGGGAGAAGACCAAAATGTGCTGCTCCTCCCAGGAAAAGAGTAAGGTTGGTTTTGTTATAACAGGAAGTGTTAAAGCCAAAGAAATGCAGGGTTACAGTGGGACTTGAGGCAGGATGTGGAGGGAGCATTTTCAAGCACAGGAGTCTTCCCAGGGGCTTAAAGGTACATGTGTGCAGTCCACCTCCGCACCCGCCACCCTCACCTTGAGATATAAGACATGGCCAGGAACGGCTCTCGTGCAGACTCCATTCTGATGTGCACTGCTGGGTGTCTGCAAGGCACTGTAGTTGGAGTGCAAGGTTGACAAGTGCTGGTCTGTGCCTGGGACCTAGCCTTCTTAGAAGCCTGGGGTCATCTCCCCAGGAGCCGAGCACAGAGAAAAGGCCAGCCCTGTGTGCTCTCAGAGTGACAAATGGATCCTCCTACAAGTCCCATTTTTTAAAAATAGGCTATAGCCCAGGTTGCCCGGAAGCCAAGTTTTACTTTGTGTCGTCTTGATCCTGACAGAGAATTCTGTCAGAAACCACGCCTTTTCTCCAGAGGAAGACTTATAAAATAAATAAGGTATTGTAGATGTTGATCTGAAAATCTAACCAAGTCCCAAACTATCCCCTCTCTGTCCCTAGCTTGACAGTCATGGAGCCTTGGGGAAAGAAGAGATAGAAGGAAAAAGAGGGGAATAAAAAAGGCTGCCTACACCTGCCACCCCCACCCCCTGCCCAGGCTCCGCCCTTCACCTTTGCCCCCTGCTCATGAGGACCATGGGAACAGGCCTTCCAGGAAGGCAAGACCCATCCCAGAAAAGGAGCCCCTAGAGCATAAGAGCCTGTCCAGGGCAGACGGGCAGCAGTGAGAAAGGAAGATGAATTTTCAGGGTATTAAGGCAACAGTGCCACCTAGAATCTTTATTCAAACAAGAATCAGACTTGGACAGAAATCACAGTTCAACAACAAAAACTATTTCTCTTGGAAGTGCCAAGCCACGGCCCCGCCCTGTGGCCACCTGCCCAAAGAACTTATCGCTGTTTGCTCTCCAGCGTCATGGCCCCTGCCCTGCCTGCCCCGACTGAGCCTGCACCTCCTGACCCAGAATGGAAGGGGTGGGGAGGGCCGCAGGGAGCTCAGCTTCCAAATGCCCAGGTGGACTGAAGCCTCTGGCTAAGCAGGCTCTGCCACCCTCCCTGGTGCCCTCTGAAGTCACAGTCTCTAGCAGCGTCAGATCTGAGCCAAGCTGAGCATCCCAAGGAAGGTGGGGATGGGGTCTTCAGGGAGAGCTGAAGGAAGTCAGGCCAGGGCTGGGGGAAGGTACCTTCCAGGCTCACAGTCCCTACGTAATAGAGGCCCAGGGGCCCGACTCTCCTGATCTTGCCCCCACATCCCTCCCCAAAGGGGTTAGTATATCTTCTGACGACTGGGTAGAATGGCCTCTTTGATGAAGGAGAAGACAACCAGGATCCCTAAGCGTTTGCCCCGTTTGCCTTTGGTGAAGTAATTGGAGACCACGTCATCTGCGGAGACACAGGTAGGGAGATGAGTGTGTGTGTGTGTTTGAAAGTGAGCACAGCTCTCCCCACCTGAAGCCCAAGGGCCTCCATCACCGGGCTGGGAGCCGGCTCCCCCAGCTGACTCAGGCCTTCCTCGTGTCCTCCCCCCCCCCCCCCCCCCCCCGTGACCCCTCGCCAACCCCTTCTCACCTCCTGGCTGCATGGTAGAGGGCAGGACGTTCTCCCCCGCAGACAGTGACACAAAGAACGCAAATGGGATTATCCACAGACAGAAAGTGAAATAGGCCAGGACCTGGCAACAAGAGAGACTGAGAAGAGGGTGCCCCTGGAGGTGCCAAGAGTGGGTTGGGCGTGGTCACCTTGTGTGTGAGAGAGGTGGTGAAGAGTACACCGAAGACCCCACATCTCTGAAGGGGGCCGGGGCCTGGGAAGCAGAGACAGGACATCCTCAGACATGGAGATAGTACAGTGGGGAAAGGTGGAGGCTGAAGTCGACTGTGGCCACAGTCCCCAAATCTTGGTTGCTAAGACAACACCAAAACTCCTCTGAACAGAAGGAGACAATGGAGGGCCAAACCATGACTGACCCACACACCCCAAAGAAGTGACCTTGTTTTCCCCCCGGGGCACGGGCTGGAGTGGCAGGGTGTGGGCAAACCCTGCGAGGAGAAGGCCTTGGCCAGCTGCGGGGGCAGCTGGGGCTCAGGGCTGCAGCCCACCCGGGAGCCCTGCAAAGTCTGCATCAGACAAGGCCATTCCACAGCCCCTTCCTGATCTCGGGCTGGGTCCTGGGAGGCCCAGAGGACTCACTGGGGGAGAACAGTGTCCTCCCCATCTTAGCCCAAGGGACTCCTGCTCCTTAGCCACACTGCTTTCTGAAAATACCTATACTGAGTTTTAAAAAAATGTGTTATCCCTATATGGACTCAGTTTCAAATCACAGTTGGGTTTACAAAGCCAATCATGCAAGTCCCCTGTGTTCCTTCTGTCCCTGTCAACAGTTTGGTGTACTGAACACTTCTTACCTCTGAGAAGGGATAATATTCCTCTGCAAAAAACTGAAATGCTAGGTAATGATTCACCACCACTAGTCCTGTTGAGGGAATGAAGAGTCAGTTAGTTTAGGGGGACTAACATGAAGCTGGACTTTCAACCTTCAAGAGGCTCCTGGGAGTTGGGAGCCCTGAGTTTCAGCCCTAACTTAACACCCGACTCAGAGTATGGCTTTGGGCCAAGTGCACCACTCTCCAGGACTCAGTTTCCCTGTGTTAAAATGGGAGAGTTAGCCCCCACCTATCCATTGCGGAGGGCCTTTATGAGTGAAATTAGAAGCAGGTCAGAAAACCCTTAGAATGCTGTAAAAAAGAGACTTCGGCATTACATCCTCCGAAGCAACTGGGTTTCCAGCAGAAGTGAGTCCTGAGAGAGCTCTCCTATGGGAAGTGGGTGGAGGAAGTCATGCTTCAGACCCCGCATCTCCTTGGTGTATAGTCGAATTTATGGGAAAGAGCAAGCGAGCAGATTCTGGGGACAGGCTGCTCAAAGGCAGGCACCCCACCTGATCCCATGGGGAAGTGACAGGCAGGTCCCAGAACAGAGCACCCCCCAAACTGAACACCCATCACATACACCTCACAGTCAGCTGCCATATCTTTTGAGACCACAGCTCTACCATGCCCAAGCACGCTCTGGCCCTAGCATATACTGGAAGATAGAGTGGTGCCTTATGCCAGCAAAATCTTTCAGAAAAGCTGTCTCAGGAATCTAAAGGGCAGGCGAGGGAAGCCTGCTACTGGGGGAGACTGGGGTGCAGTGGCCTCTTCCCTAAAAAGATGCATCAGGGGCCTGGTTCCAGGGAAAGGATCCCCACACCAAACGTGGGTAAACAAATCCTTTGGCAAAATCACACTAAGGCATGCAGAGACCAGGTCTAGCTTTAATACTGCACCCTCCTTGTGGATAATACCCTTCCCAGGTTCTCCCACGGGAATAGAAAAGTAGCTCCGTGAAACCTTCAATCCCATCTGGTGTCTTGACCAAAGGCTAGGATGACCAGTAATGACTAATGGAGAAAAAGGAAATCCTGGTAACCAAATACCGTCCATGCTTTTCTGCGAATATAAGTATCTCTAAGTACATATACTATGTGCCAACTGAGTGTCCTAAATGTACTTGTACAGATGGACAGGCTAAGACCCAGGGAGGAGTAATGACTCCCCAGGGTCACAGAACGGTGGCAAGGCAAAGGCAGGAAGGCCAGGGTCCTCCAAACACATTCGTAGTCCCCAAGGCAGATGTCTGCAGGGGCCCACAGTCCCATAGACTCCTAGCATTAATCATGATGCTGGGCTGAAGGACTGGATGGGGAGCTGCCTGCCTGCCAGTGAAGGGCTTTAGCTTTTCCTGGACAAGTGGTTTCTTATGGGCTCTGACTACCCAGCCAGCCCACCTCTGCTCTCTCCCCAAACCTTCATACTTACCTCTCTGTGAAAGCCCTCCTTGTCTGAGTATCCCACCCCCATCACCCACTCACACCAAATTCTAGTCACTTGGGCCAAGGTGGGCTCTGGTCTCCTCACATGTGAGAACGTGAGAACCCCATCTTCCCCATCAGCCTGGCCTCCTGGAGGACCTCAGTGGTTTGCCTCTTTTCTCCATAACCCTTCAGTGCCATGGACTGAGCTGGGCACATCCGACTGCCTCAGCTGCCTCCTCAACTCCGCCCCCTCTCACCGCACGACAGGATGAAGTTAGGCGAGGTCAGCATGATGAAGGGGAAGGTCTGGAGGAGGCCAAAGTAGACGAGGTTGGTGAAGAGGCCCACGCCAATCATGCAGGTAGGGAAGCGCTCAAAAACGTAGAGGCCAATCAGCACAGCTGTGGAGAACTGAAACAACCAGAGGCACACAGTGCAGGGAACCTCTTCCAAGCAGTCTTCCCGGACTCATCAACCCCCAGCCCACTTGGGGCAACGCTAAGTTCATGCTTCAATCTCACTCATTTCAGTCACAGGTCTGATCTCCCCACCTAGTCTCTTAGCTCCCAAAGGGTAGCATCCCTACTGCCACTCTCAAAGTATTTGACAGCAACCCACAATAAGAAAAAGTTTACACCATGACCCCAACACCCACATACATATATATGATCTAGTTCAAATTTCAATTCTAGTCTCTTCTATTCCATTTTTTATGCTGATCATGATCTAATGAACTGGTAACACAACCCAATAACAAATCATACCTGTCATTTGAAAGTGCTGATCTGAAGAACTTACAGTTGTCAATGCTTAATCAATGACAATTGTTTAAATGAAGGTCAAATTCCTGTACCAATACCCACTAGCTAAACCTCTGAACCCAGAGCTGAGAGCTGCCACGTGTCTCCAGCACTAACTCCCAACCTCAGGCCAAGCCCAGAGTGGAAATGGCTGCTGACACGCAGTGACCTGAGAGGCGCTGGGCTCCTGTCCAAGTGTGCTCCCACCCTGCCCCCAGCCTTTCCTGCAGCTGGCAGAAATCCATCCACCAGGAGTCACCCCTGTGGCTTTGACATCAATGGCAAGGATGGTATCTTCAGACAGAGAAGCTTTCTACGAGACCTGAGGAGGGCAGAGCCTGGGCCAGGGAAAGTGTCTCCCTCTTAGGACAAGTCAATTGATCCAATGCAAAAGAGGGTAATGAATCAGAACTGTCCTTAAGGTTCCTCTCACTCCTAAATGCTGCGAGCAGAGCAAGGGACTAGAGACAGTAGAAGACAGCCAAGCAAAGGCAAGCCATGGTCCTGTCAACAGAAAGTGTGCCCTCAGCTGTCACCTTAAGGAACTAAGAATGGGGTCAGCAGTGAAGCAATGCCACTTGGGGAAGGAGGGAAAAAAGACCAGTGCCCAGGAGAGCAGGCCCAGAGAACAAAGTGCAGGGCAGGGAGGTAGGGGTGGTACCTTCAGGGAACAGCAGGGAAAGAGGTCTCATCATCCATGCCACACTCTCCCCACTTCTTTCTTTTGCGGCGGGACAAAAGAGGGTAAACCCTTGGGGAAGCAGTCACTTACCCAGATCATGTATTTTATGATCCTGCTGGTGGCCACTGTGTATTCTTCTATCAGTTCTGCCAGGTAATAGAGTCCCGCCGCTGGGGGCACAATAAGAGGAGCAAGCAGAGTGAACATTAGCCTCGGTCACTTCCACAATCATGGTCATCCCTTTCTTCGCAGCTGGCTCTCCATCACCCCTCATGGACTCCAGAAGGCAAGGAACAAACCATGTGTTGCCCTCCAAAGTCTGAAAGTAAAACTTCATTAGGGCAGTAAGCAAGAGATTTCATAAAAGTGGAAACCTGCATCTGGCTCCTCAGCACTCTGCTAATCTCTGACCCCATAAATGGGAATTTCATTCAGTTATTGAATAAACATCTGTTGGGCACTTAAAATGGACCAAGTGCTGGACTGAATGCTGAGAATACAGTAAAAACAGCCAGTGTCCCTTCTCTGACCCAGGTGGGGGTGGAGGCGGTGAGGTAAGGGGGACAGGCGGAAGGGGAATCAGACAATTCCAGAGTTGAGAAGTGCTATTTTAGAGAAAGTAGGGGCACGGCTGGACCATCAAACCGCACACGGAGGGCTTCCCGGAGGAGGTGAGATCTGAGCTTAGATCCACAGTAGGAACTAGCCGGAAGGGGGAAGCGTGTCAACGTCAGAGTAAGAAGTTGGAAGGGCCGCAGGCCAAAGGGCGGCGATAGTTGTCGGGTAAAAGTTCCGCGCAGCCGGCCCCCCGAGGGTGAGCGCGGCAGCGGTAGGCGGCGCGCGGGCGCGGAGAACTTGAGAGCCACTCCCCAGCACTGCTGGGAGGGACTTTGCGACACCTGGAAGGACCCGCGATCAGGCTAGGCTGCTGGGATCAGCAGGAGGGTCAAGAACAAGAGAGACGGTAGCGGGGTATGCGAAGGCCGGCAGCACCGGACAGGGGTCTCCAGGTCGCTCCGGCGCCCGCGTGGTGCGACCCCCAGTGAGCAAAGATGCGGAGGTGGAAGCCCGCGCAGGCCGGGGTCGCGCACTCTCACCGACGGCCAGCGTGATGAAGGACACCTGGATGAAGAGCGACAGCCAGCTCAGCACGTACATGAACCACATGGCGCCCTCGCCCCGCCCGGCAGCCGACCGCCGGGACGGGCCTGCGCGCTGGGGCTCCGGCGACACGGAGCGGCCGCCACCGCTGCCGCGTCCCCGCCCCACCGATGGCCGGACCGCCGTGCGCCGCCGCGGAGAGGAGCCCTGCCCGAGCGCCGCCCGGGTCGGCTGTAGACTGGCGCCCCCTGCCGGCTGGGAGGGCCAACCGCTGCTGCCCCCTGAGGCCCGCGCTCGCGGAAACCTGGGCTGCGCAGAGAGAACGGTCGCCGAGCACTGCATCCCCAGGGAGGCAGAGTGGCGAAGATGCGGCGCCAGTACAGGGGTCCCTCCCTGTGTAATCCTGCGCCGACCTGGAGAGGTGTGCAAGGCAGAAGAGGGCCTCCAGACCTCTCCCCAACAACATCGAGCCAGAAGCCTCCAGGCAGGTTTTCTACAGGGCTTTCTCTTTCCCTGCAAATAACAGGAACAGAATGTTGAGTGCCTAACATGTACCAGGCACAGTGCTAAAGATTAGGCGGTATGTTCTTGATGGACATTGATTCGATGATGTAGATCATTTCATGGATGGGGAAGCTGGAGCCAAGAAAGATTACCGTAGCTCAGGTTATATACGTCTGGGAAGCCGCAGAGGCAGGAGTTGCCGCGCCTTTGATCAACCATCCTCAAGCCTAACTCCCCCTCTGGCTGATGAGTTCCTTTGAGGTACAATCTGCACCTCCGTATCGGCTACAACTCGCCCAGTGCAGGGCTCCCATTAGGCACCGAATGCATTTACTACGCCTCTGGGAGTGTTTCCGAAGGTGTATGAGGAGCCCAGAACCCTTTGTCAAGAAGTCCCCCATCTAGTGGCCGAAACAAGCATGCAAAAATACAGTGTGTATAGTGGGAGTCTAGTGTGCTTCTCATCTCAGAATACTTTTCATGCGTAACAGTAAATACATATTCCTGAAAAAAATAAACATATAATTACCATATGATCCAGCAGTTCCCCTCCTGGGTATATACCAATGAGTATTGTAAGGGACTCAAAGAGATACTTGCACACCAATGTTCATAATAGTATTGTTCACAGTAGTCAAAAGGGTGGAAACAACTCAAATGTCCATTAACAAAGAGATAAGCAAAATGTGGTGAGTAAATACAATGAACTATTATTCAGCCTCAAAGAGACATGAAATTCTGACACCTGTTACAACATGGATGAACCTTGAAGACATTATGCTAAGTGAAATAAGCCAGACACAAACATGCTGTATGATTCCACCCATCTGAGGTATCCAGAGCAATCAGACAGAGACAAAGTAAAATGGTGGCTGGGGTTGGGGGAGAGCTGCAGGAAGTCAGTGTCTAATGGGTCCAGAGTTTCAGCTTGGGAAGGTGAAGGGTTCTGTAGACGGATGGCGGTGACGGCTGCACAACAGTGTGAATGTACTTAGTGCCACTAAACTGTACACTTGGGGTGTTAAAATGACAATTTTATGTATTAAGAAATATATAAGACAAAGCAAATTATATTGAAATACAAATGTCAAAATATTTTTTAAAAAACTAAATGTGTAATGTGTAATAATCTATGTGCTTCTTTATTAATGCATAACATAAACCAGATCTAATGGAAAATTAATCATTATCTACCTGTGACAGAAATAAGAACTAGGGAACTACCCTGATTCCTGACACAGCTTCTGAAACCCTTGTAATTTCCTCAGTGAGGGAGGTGAGAGAGGGGTGTCTTATGCAGCACTCCTAAAACCCTTGGAATTTCCTGGATGATAGGAGCATCTTTTGTTCAAATGAAGTGACTCTTAGTGGGCTCCTGGATAGTTTCCAAATGGTATCTGGTCACCAGAATGACCAAGCCATGATTAGAAGTTTGGAACTTTCAATCCCATCTCCCATCCTCCAGGGAAGGACAAGGGGCTGGAGATGGCGTTAATAATGAATGATCCTGTATCATGTAGCCTCCAGATAAATCCCTAACAGTTCAGCGACCTTGGTTGGTGAGTGCATGTACATGCTGGGAGGGAGGCACACCCCGACTCCACGGGGACAGAAGCTCCCATGCTCGGGGCCCTCCCTTACCTCACCCTGTGTATCTCTTCACCTGGCTGTTCAGCTTTATCCTTTATCTTCTCCTTTAATAAACTGGTAAATGTGAGTAAGTGTTTCTGAGTGTTGTGAGCCATTCTAGCAAATTATTGAACCTGAAGGGGTGTGTGAGAACCTCCAATTTGTAGCCAAGTCACACGGAAATATGGGTACCTTGGGGCCCCAGGACTGTAACTGGCATGTAGAGTGAAGGCAGTCTTACGGGACTGAACCTTTAAAACTTGTGAAATCTGATGCTACCTCCAGGTAATTATTGTCAAAATTGAATATAGTTATAGGATTCCCAGTTGGTGTCCAGTGGGGCGGATACTTGATGTCTAGTGCAGCAGTATCTGTGGCCGCTGCAAATGCTCGATGAGAGAAATACACACGGACTACTGAGTCCTGTGGAGGAATAGGGAGAACAAGGCCACTCTCTCAAGGGAAGAGCACCCCGAGCCGCTGCCTGAGTAGGCTTTTTATTAGGTAGTATTAGGTAGGAACACAGATACAGCTTATTAACCATTGTCTAGCAGTGAGGATCAAACAGATAGATAACGTTCAAAGGGCTCACACTGAGTTGGGGTCTTATCACCTAAAAAAATCTATAGAATTTAAGGAGCTAAATTCATTTCCTGCACGGGCCTTCATAATCTAATTAAGAGCATCCTCAGCAAAGCAGGTTTCACAGGATTTTACATATCCTTTTTGTTTCAGGCCTGATTACCCTGGGAATCCCACCGCTTTCCAGCATAGGGCTGCACTGCCCCTTGTCATTGTTACAGGCTTGAGCCAGGCAAAGGAGACAAGGCAGCCGAAAGGTTTGAGACTTCTCGCAGGCAGAATGAGGACTCAGGCTTTGTGAAAGCTGGGGGGTGAGGGTCGATCACCCCCTCTTTTCCACAGCCCCCTGAGTCTTTCCCTGAGGGCCTTCCCACGTGATCGTGCCTGGCTAGGTCCATCCTCCTCTGAGGAATGTTATCTGTCATTGGCTAACCGACCAAGCAATGGGGGCCAGGCAAGGAGCAGGCAACGCTCCTGCCAGGGAGATAAGCTTGTCTCCTTAGTGTCTCCTGGTCGGGAGGTCTCTCACTCAGCCTTAGCTTAGGGCAGGGGGAAGGGTGGGGGGCAGGTCACAACTCCTGAAACCAAGCAGAGGGGTTCCCAACATTCCAGAGAGTTGGAAAATTGTTTGACGTGGTGGTGTATTGGCAGGTGGCGGGGGGGCGGGGAATGCATACATTTGGTGTCAGAAATGTTGCGAGTAAAGAAACAGTTTTCTGCCCTGGCTGGCATAGCTTAGTGGATTGAGCACAGGCTGCGAACCAAAGTGTCGCAGGTTTGATTCCCAGTCAGGGCACATGCCTGGGTTCCAGGCCACGGCCCCCAGCAACTGCACACTGATGTTTCTCTCTCTCTCTTTCTCCCTCCCTTCCCTCTCTAAAAATAAATAAGTAAAATCTTAAAAAAAAGAAATAGTTTTCCTTTACTACCACAATGACAAAGTAGGGATGAATGTAAATATTCCAAAATACCTTCTATCCTATAAGATGAGAAGCTCACATCCTGCTAACTCCTGTGCAATTATTGCCTGCGTGCATAATGGAAGGAAATGTTGAATTTCACTTAGAGGTTAGTGCAAATAAATATGGAAAATTTTTCCCTTCCAGTTTTCCAGGGTCCTTGAGTTTGTCTCTCTGAATTCTATAACTTCTGATTTCTAAGGGGTCCCAAGGCTTTGGGTAAGAGCAGTTGGCACCTTAAATGACTGTGTGCCGATTTACAGAATCTTCATTATAGCACTGGGACAAACTGAAAACAATGTAAATGTCCATTAGTGGGAAACTGGATAAGTACGTGGTGGTACATTATAAAGCAGAGCCATGAAAACAATTGAGGATGTTCTTTGTATACCCGTATGGGAGGATCTCCTTTCGAGAAAAGCAGATGCATGGGGAGAAAGAAGCTGCATAAGTATTTATATGGAGTATCTAGGAAGGATCCATTAGAAAATGGTAATTTTATTTGCTTCCTAGGAAGAGAAGGGGTGGAGTTCAAGAGTGAGAGAGAACATTTCCACTGTATTTCTTTTTACATCCATAAAACATTAAACTGTGTAAGTATATGTGAATGTATGACCTATTTATAAATTAAGTTTAAAATGAAAAAGTTTGTAGTATGCTGGACCAGCCAGGATGCCTCAAATTTCATGCTGGTACTTAGTCATTTTTCGATAAAAGCCACTGTGTGGTTCCTCACAGATAAATTGTAGCCCTGGGTCACGTGACCTGGTAATCTGCTGTTTAGCCCAATAGGAGAACTTCATGCTCTCGTCTTTTCTACTGGGAAATTTGTGTTTGAGACACAAAAACATCAGTAAATGGAGGGACACTAAGACCTTAGTTGGCCCCACTTTTTCCTAAACATTATCCTCCCAGAGAAGGGGGAAAATAGAAAGTATTTCCTCACTCTTCCCTAGAATTATAGATAAAGAAGACTTGAGCCCCCCAAAAGTTAAGTGCATTCACCTATGACTGAGCCACGATTGCTGTCCCAGGGCTAGGCACTTTCACTCCCCCAGAGCCTTAGAGCCAAAACAGGCCTGGGGAACCAAGGCTGAGGACTCACATTTCCACCGGGGGCAGGAGGGAACACACCATGATTTACCGAGAGGCAACTCAGAAGCCCTGGCTCTTATCTGCCCCATGCACCCAGCAGGGAAGGCAGGGTCAGGGAGGCTCTTTGGGACCTACACTGAGGCAGGAGGTCAAAAGAGGGGGCAAATCCTGCCTCCCTTATAGGAGAGATCAGAGGGAATAGGACTCCCAAGCTCAATTCAAGGAACTCAATATTAAAAGGGTTTATAGAGTCAAAGTTCTGTTGATTTGCATGTTGACAGACTTTAGTAGCTACATACACTTATTTCTTTTTCCAAACTTTTTTCTTTATTTTATTTAATTAACTTATTTAGAGAGAGGGAAAGGAAGGCAGAGAGGGAGAGAAACAGCGATGTGTGAAACATCAATCGATTGCCTCTCGTACCTGCCCCCAGTCAGAA